AGGACAAATCACTTCCAGTTTCTCTGGTTGCCTTTTTTGTGTGAAGAGGGAACCCTGGCCCAGTATTGCCAAAGAACTGGGTTTCCTGTCCTCCTGTTTGCAAGGGAGCCTCCCCGTTTCCCCCATGCAGCTTCTCCATTTCACTGGAAGCGGCTTCTCTCAGAGACATAAACCTACTGTATAGTCTCTGGTTCCACCTAGTGGTCAGTCTTGGTAAAACACCTTGGAAACATGTACTGTACATAATTTTATTTATCTATCAGGCAGGGTGAAAGCATGGGTACTGATCTTGCGAATACGGCAGTCATACTGTATTGGGGAGTAGCGGCCAGCAAGTCAATGGAGCCGTGAGTCATTCTGTAAGACCTTCCCAGGCTGGGACGTTGAGGAATTTTGACCCTGAGAGAGGCTTAGAAATCAGTGACCAGAAACTGGGCCTTCTCGGGAGTAGCCCCGCAACTGTGGAATGTTCTCCTGCCCAACATTTGCCTGGTGCCATCATTGGAAACTTTTGATTATTAAAAACCTTTTTTTTTTTGAGACAGGCCTTTCTGGACTCTACTATATCTTGATACAACAGTGCTAAAATATCCAGATATTCTCTAAAGTTCAACCCCTGCCATGCTTTCCTTATTTTTATTTTAATATCTTACTGATATTATTTTCATTTGTCTATATTGTATTATGTTATACTACTGTTGTGTTATTGTATTGCTTTGTCTTTATACTGTTTTATTGTACTGTATGAACCACCAGAGTAGCCTGGGTTGCCAGATGGGCAGTATAGAAATTAAATAAAATAAGGTTGCTTTATAGTAATCCCTTCATAGGAATATTAGTGAGGATGCATTTGGACTACTGTGGATAGTTCTGATCATTCTGCATTAAGATGAACACATGGCATAGCTGGAAAAATGCCTCAAAGAGCAACTGAAATTATTCTGTAAAAAAAAAGAGAGAGAGACAGAGACTATGATTGCTCTACAACTCAAGTGTGTGGAGAATGTGGATGTTCTTCCTCTCCCACAATCCTTGACAAATATAGAAATCATCAGAAATTACCTGACAACAGATTGAGGAGGGACGAAACAAAGACCTTCCTCAGACAGTGCAATTTACTTTGTAGGATGTGCTGCTACTGGATGGATGTGTTGATGACAGGCTTTAAGTTGAATGCCTAGAAAAAAGAAATATCAAACAACTGGATGTACTTGGGACACAATACCTAACATAATTTCTATGCTGAGATTGACAGGTGATTTGCATACATGATAGCTGCTGGGTGACGAACAACAAAAAAACTGTGTTCTCATGTTCATGTTGTGTGTTTGCTGGTTTGGCCACTGTGGGAAAGCAAAATGCTGGACAAGGTGGCGATGGGATTTTGACTGGTCTTAAAACATTCCTTCTTCAGTCTTCAGAGATTGCCTTTACGTTTACCTGTTCTGCAAGAGTTGTATGCCAGCCCTGATGAGGTCCTGGTCCACAAGAAGTCATCTTAACCGCAGCTATGATAACATCAACCCACAGTCAATATGAACACACTGTTATGACTCATTTGATGGGTTCATCTCCTGCTACCGTACTGTGTATTTGGCGACTAAGAGCTTAACAGCTTGCTTGAGGATTTTGTTCAAGCAGATTCTCTGAGGTTTTGGGGATATTCACTTTTCACCACTTTTACTGTGAGAAAATTCACAAGTGGGTTATTTCTCCCCTCAGCAGACACACCCTTTTCAGCAAGACTTCCTGTCTCTACCACTAATCACTGTTTATTAAAATTCATTATGAGAATGGGCTACCTGTTGAAAATCCTGAATAACTTTCAACGGACTGAAACCTTTGCATGATCAAAGTGATTATGCCACAGAAACATATCAGCCTTGGACTTCAGTTGGTTTCAGAGAAGGGAAAAGTTGTAGCAAATAAGAGAAACCTACAAGTAGACAGAACCTCCCCCTTCCCCTGCCCAGATATGTTAATCAGGGATTCTGGGAGTTGAAACCCAAAACATCTGGAGGGCCAAAGATTTCAAACCATTGCACTGGAAGGCATCTGGAAAAAACATTGGTACTCTGGGTTTATACTGGGAGATTTCAAATCATTGCATTGGAAGGCATCTGGAAAACATTGGTACTCTGGGTTTATACTGGGTGTGCGTCTTGACTCTAGGACTAATTTCCACAAGGCAGCTCTGCTGCAGCAAAAATAGCAAAGAATTGAGCAGCACCTTTAAAATAGAGCATAAACTTTCATGAACATCCACTATCCTTCATCCAGCACAGGATGAGGCTTTGCATCTCTCTCTCTCTCTCTCAAATACATCAAGATTGAGGAAGGAAACAGAAAACAGTGAAAATAATTTTAAAGGCACAATTGATATCCTCACTGTCTGTACTGCAACTCAGCTACACATACCATATATAAGACTGGAGCCCCCAAACAATGCATCTGAAATGAGTTGTGTGTCCATGAGTGCTCATGATATAAATAAATCTGGATGTGAGGTAGATCTGGCTGCAACATGTTTCCTCATTGATCATCAGTATTAATTTGGCTGATCGGCTGGCAAGGGGGTGTGCCCTTTCACACGTGTCTCTCTTGAAGCCATGCACTTGGTGGAAGATGACCATCCCAGATAGGAGTGTACCATTCTGTCCCTCCTGAAGCCGTGCACTTGGTGGAAGAAGATGACCATCCCAGATAGAAGTGTACCGTTCTTTGGTCAAGGGTATACAATACATAATTCTTTTAATCTGATAGATGCCACAAAACTAATTTTGAGCCTAAGCCTCCCCCATCCCTTCAGAACAGGTTGCTATTCATTTTTGTAGTCCCCTGGAAGCCCTTCAGACAAAGCCTTAGTGCACTCAAGGTGCTTTGAAAATGCTGGCCAGCAGCATGCCACTGCCCATTACTCATTTTTATCTTTGTCTTTCAGCTATCAACATATTTCAAATGGCAATAAGGAAACTTAATTAGCATGAGCTGCATGACATGTTGTATGTGCCAAAATATTACTTGGAAAGTAGTGGGAGCTCCTACAAGTTCATTTTTAGAAAAAAGCATACACAAAGATAGAGCAGATAGCATAGTAAGCACAATTTTCGGAAAGCTCTTCTGTATAACTTTTAGACATACTACCCTTCAGTTTCCTATGTGAATCTTCACTCTTGGTCCATTTAACGCAACCAGTTTCAGTCCTAATTAATGACAGTCAGTTGAACACTTAACAGGCTCTACACCAGAAGCCACACCAGAGGTCTACGTACTTCAAATCATTTATTCAAAACTCTCTCCCTTTCATTTGACACATTTTATGGAGTCTGGAGCAACTCAGGCATACTTCATTTAGGCTGTAAAGGAAGTGAAAGAAAATTATTATTCAAAAAAAGAGATTTATCTTGTGGAGAGACAAGACAGAACAAAGGTGTGTTGGAACACAACAGCCTGTGCCTTGGGTGGAGAGAGAACATTAATGAACTTTTGATAGTATGGATTTAAATTGTGTCAAACAGCCAAGTCCTCCTGAGTTTTTCACGTAAGAACACACAAGGTCTGAAATTCCCTGCAGGCAACCTTACAGAAAATCATTTACTCCACACCCAACTGCCAAGGAACAGGTGTGGAGGCAACTGTGGGGTTGCCTCAGAGGAAAAGAACTAATAATTAAGTGGTTGCTGTCAGAAGCACCTTAAGAAGCAAGTCCCAGAGGCATATATGGAGAGGCAGTATGGCAAGTGACAGGAGTAGCCTTCTTCAGCCCAGGGCTCTCCAGATGCTTTGGTCTACAACGTACACGTTAGCCCAAGCTCACATGGCTGATGACTGAGGATTATCAAAGTTGTACGCCAAAATATTGGGACAGAAAATGGCTGGTGATAGGGTTGAACATGGGAAACTCAGTTTCAAGTTCTCTCTCAGGAAAGAAACTTAACAGGCCACTTCTTCATTCTCTTTTTCAGTCTGCATCCAGGAAAACAATTGGGAAAAAAAACTCTTGCAGAGAAGGTTTAAAGATTTCCAGACCCGTGGCTAGAACAATGAAAGCTAACATGGAGTCACCACTCACTGATCCAGTACTGTCAACTGACTGGCGCCACCTCCAAGGCTTCAGGCAGGATTCTCTCCATACTTTTGGTGCAAATACAGAGAACAGAACCTGGGACCTTCTGCAGGAAAAGCATGCCCTCTACTACTGAAGTATGGGCTGTGCCCATGAAAGAGAACTGGGAAAGAGGGGGGAGGTTGTCTGTGCCAGTACAAATCAAACAATAGGAGTGGCAAGTCTTTGTCTCTCAGGAAGCAGTTTGGGAAGACGTAGAACTCAATCCAATTTCTAGGATCAGAGAGATCATGAACTTCCACGTGCAGCTTCTTCATGCCTCATGTTCTTCCAAATCACCCCTTTCCACCGGAAGCCTTTGGAGTACACCACCACCTTCCATTTCAAGTTCTGAAGATATTCAGCTAATGCTTGGGTGGAACCAACCAACAAAGTACAAATCTGGCCACTCAAGTCTAGAAAAACAGATTGTATGCTACTGACAAGACACTTTGGAAGTCATTCATTCACAGAGTCACCATGGATTGGAGCTGATTTGATGGCACATACCGTATTTGTCGCACCATAAGACGCACTTTCCCCACAAAACAGGGGGGTGGGAAGTCTGTGCGTCTTATGGAGCGAAGAAAACAGATTATATTTTCCTGTTTTCTTCTCCTAAAAATTTGGTGTGCTTTATGGAACGGTGCGTCTTATGGAGCGAAAAATACGGCAATACCCTCTACTCCATCATGCACAGGGGAACTAGCTATTGAAGCTACATATGCACAACTAGAGCTGGACTTGGCTGCTCTTGTTTGTACAATTAATTTATGAAACGGATTTTGGATTTTCTAAAACTGGCATCTCTACAGAATATTCTAGTTCCCCTTCTGTAGGAAAACAAGGCATTACAACGGATGCACTTTGTGACAAGTACAGACCACTGCAACCATTTCACTGAAAACATATTCTAGTTTATTACATCAAAAATACTTAAAATAGACTGAAGAGGTGTGTTTAAAAAAAACAAATAAAATAAAAGCCACCATAATGAAATAGATGATACTCATAAAATCTTCTGTTTTCAGTTCAAGTTACCATTCTCTCTCTCTCTCTTAAATCCTCCAAGGAGAGGTCTGTGGAGGGCAACCATGAAGCAGAAATTCTCAGACAGCTTGCATTTGAAAAGAAAACAAATAGCTACAGTACATACAACGCAAGACATCTTTCAACTCAAAAAGCTACTTGAAACAAATGATTTGCATGGCACTCTCATACTGTGGCACAACGTGGGAAACAAAAAGGTTTGACAAGCTTCAAGCAGCTGCCTCGGATTGTGCTCCACCACACCTTTTGCATCAATCCACTCTCTAGAAAGGATCAAAGAGCACAGGGGCGGGTGAAGCCCACAAAAGAACGATCCCACATTATGCTCAACAGCTCCAAGGCATGATGAAACTACATAATGCAACTGCATTTTTGGCAGAAATGGCCAGCAGACTCACATGCCTAAAGAGAAACTGCTATTGTTTTTGGTGCTTGCATGAGAAAGAAAACCATTGCAGGAGAAAAAAAAAAAGAAAGCTACCCAGTAACATTTAGCTTTGTGGAGTTTTATGCGGCAGAGATCTGAAACTGACATCTGCTTTCAAGCGTTGGAGATCTGTTGCATTTTCAGCACGGCAGTCAAATTTTCTTTTATTACCTTATCAAAGTGAATATTACTAGAAAAAAGAAATGGCAAGAGCAAAGCAAAAAGATATCTGATGACTGTGGCTTGTAACCACATTTACCTTGTTTAGCTACTCCTCTATAAAATATGTTCTGTAATGATATCCCTTGTAAGACTTATTTCAAAAAAAGAAAAAAAATTACTGTGGTTAAGAACCATGTCCTCAGCATGTGGACTGGAATCTAGTTTGGGACCTAGTGGAAATGGGAAACCTCCTTTCTTAGCAAACAGCAAGCATTTTTAATCCAGGAAGGGAATTCTGATGTTTATGGATTAGATAAAAGGGTTCTTGTTAGCACAAGCTAAAGTTTCCAATATCAATTCTACTTGCATCCCCAAATGATATGTAAAAGGAGAACTTGTCCCTTAATAACCAGATCCTAAGCCACCAGCAACCAAAAAACAAATTACTCCCCAAAGTGTTACATGCTTCTTCAGCACTCTGTAACATTTCCCAAAAAACAACAAATCCTGAAACAAATCATTTCCTTGAGAAGAGTGTGTGGTTGTTCTTGGGATCTCTTTTCAATCCGACTAATTACCTTGAAGGCTTTGCTCAACCCTAGATATCTGAATGCAGTGCCAGTACATATTACAGTCGGTTAAAATGTACAATATTTTGTGGTGGCCAAAACATAAAACAAGAAGTAACAACAATTTATACACCATTTCTAACCCATACTATTAGTTCTTTAAAAAAGAAAAAGAAAAAGAGAGAATGAGTGAGTGAGATGAAAAGCAGATGTATATTAATTCTTTCTTTTCACTTTCCTCCGGAGCGACTGGGTCAGCGGGGGGTTCTTCTACCATGGCGCTGTTGCTTTCTGAACCCGTGTTGCTGTCACTTGTTCCTTCCTCAGCCATGCTTTCGACTCCTTCTTGCCCACTCTCCTTATCTTCTGGCGTGGAGGTCCCTTCCCCATTTTGCTGACTTTCAATCGTTTCCTCAGGAGGGGGCTCTTCTGCTACACAAACATTTATTTATTTTTTATCAGTGAAATTATTTTGCTGCTGTTAAGCTGTTTTTCTTTTTAAATTGTTTTTCAGGTACAATGGCAGAATAAAAAGTTGAAGTAAATGGCATTCACAGAAGGAAACTAAGATGGTTCTATCTTTAAAGTTACTTCATGCATAAGTTATCAATATAGTTTGGTTCTTAATCAAGGACACTGAATGCGTGTGAATCATCCAATTCTTTCGCAGCCTATTCTATCTCTACACTACTGGAAATGAATCAATGGCCCTGTATATAATACTGTCCAGTAACTGAAACAGGCTACTACGGTCACATTAATCTGACTATAATTTATTACATTTATTAGACATAATCTTCTAAAGATGAAAGGCTTTTTATATGTAAGGAGCCAAATTAAATCAAGATCTTAAATTTAAAAAGAGAATGTAAGTATTATCTCTTTCCTAAAGAATCCTGCACCAAGAAGTTAACTGAGAAAGATAATACAGACGGTTAGGGGGGAAAAGGGGGGGCAAACTATAACCTATAAACATGTGATGTCCTTTTAAAAATCTGTAACCTCAAGCATGTGTCCCTCTCATTTACTGCAGCTACAAAAAAGGAGAGCTCATACTGTTTTGTCAGACTAGTACCTGTCTCCATGGGAGTTGGCCCCTCTTCTTTCTTCTCCTCTCCCTTGCTCGCCGCTTGCTCCTCCTCTGCGCTCGTGCTGTTCTGACTGCGTTCCGCTAGCTCGGCCGCTTCTTTCTCCCGCTCCTCCTGCCGCTTGCGGGCCTGCTCCTCAGCCTGAGCAATTTCGGCCGCAATCTTCTCCATGTCCACTTCTACTTTCAGGCTGCACAGCTAGTGAGGAGCAAAGAAAAATGTCCCCCTTTTGAAACTGCCGTTCTTTTTAGGTTTGGGTTTTTGTCGCATTACAGCACAGTCCTGTCTCTACTACGAAATTAAGCATGCTTAATTTTCTCCTGCCATTAGCCCCACCTCCTGAAATAACTTGAGGTTAATAAGAACTGTTGAGGGGTCCTGGCCTTGCTAGGTCAGACATGAGCTGAACTAGCATTCTTTGCAAAACTCCGCACAGAAATTGACCAGTGGCAACCCCTTCTCCTAGGGAGCCAGCTGAACAGAGTGACAAAGCTTTTACTTTCATCAGCATACCAAGTCCCTGGAAACTGGCACCTTTTGCAGATTTATCAGGATAACATAAGGGGAACCCCATAAAGTATGACAGAAATGCAAGCAGTATTATCTATGGTGTTGGTTGCAGATATAATTTTCAAAGTATACCATAATGGTTAGATATTTGGCTTTTTAAGTAAATTGAAATTCTCCGGTGTCTAACCAGAGCCAGAAGGCCACAGAAACATGTATAAAAGTTTATACATTTTCCTATTGACAAATGATCTGTTTTATGGCCTGGAAAATAGAATGCTTCACCATGGATGGGGAAAAAAGAGATGTGTATATCTAAGCTGGCATGTTATGAAGAAGCCTGAAACCATTTCCTCAACACCAGTTTTCAATTGGTATATTTCAGTCATTCTAACTCCTCCTTAATCTATGGTCTCATATGGTACAGCCTACCCCACAATAAGAACTTAAGACCTAGACAGAAAAAAAAGCTTGAGGATTCTTTGGCCTGTCTTTTTAGACCTCAAACTAGCACTGGTTATACTGCTGCTGCTACATTATTCTTTCTCACACTATACATTGGGAAATAAATAAAATATTCAAGAAATGTATCCCAAACCCTTTTTCAAAGGAGACTAATAACGGATGGGGACAGAACATGGTGGAATACATGTTATGCTACAGGAACAGGGAACGTATGGCTCTCCAGATATTACTGGACTCCGAATTCCTGACATCTTTCACTCATTAAAGCTAGGTTTAACAGGAGCCCCAGACATGAACATCTGGAAGGCCACATGTTGCTCACCTTCAAATCTAAGATTGCAGGCTCACTCCCTCTTAATGTTTTGGGATAAAAAAAATCTCACTGGGCTTGAAACAAAAAGTATAAATAACGGTACAATGGTGGTGGGAGATGTTTAAGTCTCCCTACATTTAGATCTAGGGAATCGCAGACTCAGCCTATAGTTCATTTATTTTTATTTTATTTATTTATTTATTGGACTTATATACCGCCCCATAGCGCTACAAGCACTCTCCGGGCGGTTTACAATTTTTAATTATACAGGCTACACATTGCCCCCCCAATCCAATTAATCCAATTAGGATTAATTCCATAAGTAGAGGGTCCACTTTAAGTCTCCCTACATTAAGATCTAGGGAATCACAGACTCAGCCTATAATTCATACCTTTCTTCTACCCCCAAATGTGAAACTGTGGTCCTTCAGGTATTACCCCAACTGCATGCATACCTTCCTTCTACCCTCAAATGTGAAACTGTGGTCCTTCAGGTATTTCTCAACAGTTGTTACCAGAAGCCTTCACCATCAGTGCTGACAGGACTTGTTGACCAACAACCTGCAGAAAACCACAGTTGTCCACCCACTCTACCTAGGCAGAAAGAACAAACCAGAAAACTGCTGGGCCCCTGAGCATAGACAGAAACACTTGGGAAAGCCATACTCTCTTTAGCTCATTGTTAAAGGATTCTGTGCTCTCCAAGAACTTCCGCTTCTTGTCCTGATGACGTTCTTCTATCTGCAGGAGTTCGGCTTCCAGCTTCCGCTGTGTGAAGAGGGGATATTATAATAAAGGGTGAATACAGAGTTCTGACAGACACATAAATATAAATGTACATGCAAAGCAGTGGTACGGGGGGAGGGGGAGCAGACAAGGAGAGATTTGCAGCAAATTACATGAACTGCCTAGATGAGGGAAAATTCAGATCGGATTCCAGAAATGAGATAAACAGGTCCAATTTAAAACATGTTTGTTCACTGAGGCACTAATGAATTTTTAAGGAAAAGTCCTTTATTTGTTATTTTATTGTGCTTTTTTGCATTCTGACTAAATTTGTTATAAATGAAGTTCTCAGTAGAATGAAAGGTGGTATGCAACTGTTCAGAAGTTCCTCTAGTATCACTCATGTGTGCCCTGATGCTTATGAATTTCCTATCTATGCAGCAGCTGTCTCACACCTCTGAACTGCTGACTTAAAGAGATTTGCAAAGTTTTGGAGGTCCTTAATGGGCCGGCTTTTTAATCACATAGTTGAACAGGTTTAGGTCTAATATGAACTGAATGTTTGTCTGTATATCACCAGCCCTTGAGGTTTCCATGGGTAAGTGTGTTTATGATTTCTATGTGTAAAGTGTGAGATATATGCATTTGTGTTTTGGGGATAGTTCTCCCAACAGTGTGCAACAGAAGGTCAGAGCCAAGAAATACACAAAGATGGAGCCCTTAATGTGCAGCTCTCTTTTAATTCTAAATTCTGTTTAGATAATGTTTAGCCACTTATTGTGCAATTAGGGAAATTAAAACATATATGGAATAATTGGTTCTAGCATTTACATGCTAATGAAAATTGCAAAACATCTTTTAAAGAAGCAGCTCTGTTTCACCTTGCTCAAGTTGTGCATTTCTGTAAGAGGGCACAGCATGTACAGGAATGTTTGAAGTGTTAGTCCACACCTATTATTACATTTGATCTCCTGGCAGATACATTCTGAATCATTGAATGTTGGACCTCACCCCTTAGTCCTCCCAAGAAAAAAGTAACCTCTGTGAGCATAAAGATTTCTATGGCTAGCATGCGTGTTGAAGTGTATCAGGTGACTTGGAGGCTATCCCAAAGTTGATTGATTGGAAATGGACTCCTGGTTATAGCAATTTTATTTTTCCCATCTGGAAACATGGAAGAGTTGCGTGAAAGCGTGTGTATTTTGCAAGAGCTACAATAAAGGCCTATGAATTGAGGAGAGGCTAAAATACCAATTGAAACACAAGACACTCTCTCTCCTCCTTTTTGCACTAGCTGGAAGCCCCCCACACACACATTAATACAAAAGAAGCTTAAATCAGTAATTTAACAATAATTTGTCAAGCAACAAATGAAGGACCTGTAAGTTCTGCTCAGTGCTGGAGACAGATATGAATAACTGATAACTTTTATACTTTCATAATTAGGGACAAGAGAGTAAGCATTATTTTTACCTGTCCCAAGATGGCTACATGCTGAACTCACTTTGAATCTAGCAGGGATAAATCTGCTGAATGTCTGCTACATTCAACCTCAAGAATTTTATAATCTGTTGCTCAGAGCAGTACTACCTTATCTTTACCTTTTTATCACAGCTTGCACCTTGTTTTGTGACAATTTCTAGTTTGCCCCAATAAAGATATTAGTCCACTACATTTTTTCTGGTTACAATATAGCTTCTGTATTTCCTTCAGTAGTCTATGCCATCTTCAACTGCTAAGATGACACTCTGGTGTGACATTTTCTTTGACTTAGAGCTCAGCCAGCCCCAGGGGTTAAGGAATATAATAATGTCCTAACTATCTTACTCTACAACAACATAAGAAGTGCCCTGATGGGTCAGATTGGGATTCTCTTTCTAACAGATGCCTGGTCACCAGGAAGACAATTTGGATAAAAAACTTTAGTACAAATCTGGAAGATCCATAGGCTCGGGTTTGTAAAAAATCTGGGGAAATAATGGAATACTGATGTCAGTTTCACTATTAACCCTGGAGGGAGTTCTCTGTAACTGCTTTTTAAGCACTTTCTGTGGTTCACCAGCACTCTGCTTGCAGATATTGTGCTTTCAGGTTGCATAAGATGATTAAGAGACAGGTAAAAAAAGACATTGGTGGAAGGATTATCCGCCTCACTGCAGGGATTTTGGTCCTTTCTAAAATTTACCTGTACACCTGACATCAAAGATCAGTTGCAATCAGTTTTAAACTGTTTTTACTTTTGCAACCAAGGAAACCTGGGAACAGCGAGGAAGATAGGGTTTCTGAACTAAAGAACTCCCAGCCCAAATTCCAGAATTTGGAGTGAATGAATAGCAGTTAAAATACTATGAAACTAATTTAAATTGAGACATGAGAACATGTCCATGATATTAATCTATCAACAACATGGGCGGCCTGTGTTATGGAGAAACCTACCTGTTAGGTAGAAACTAAGGCAGAAAAACTCTGGTACCAAACTCATTTACATTCACAGATATCAGATATGTAAATTTTACCTGGTGAACCATTAAGGACTGGACTTGGCGCTTAAGAACTTGCATCCTTGCTGTGGTGACTACTGATCTGACATCAGGGACTACACTTTCACTCAAGATTTCACTAATTAAGCGGTGGTTTCTTTGGAAACGGGCTGTAGCAGTGTGTTTCATGGAAAATCCATCATCATAATCTGAAACAAGATGCACAAACATGTGAACTGGAGAACATGCAAGTGCAGCTTGTACACTGAGAACACTGCCTGACTTCACAGCTGACTTTGACCACAAAACCCTGCATTCCATATACAATAGTATTGTTCCCTCTTCTTTTTGCTAGTGCCACGTTCCTACCAGAAATCTTCATGTTTTTTTAAAAAATCCTGCAGCTTGGGAAATGGAATGCTTCATCTCTTTTCTGCCAGCCCACTCACACATGCAATCGCTTGTTCACATGTCTGCCAGTTACATGGTTAAATATGAGCCACCTTAGCTGTACAGTAAATGGAGCTTCTTCCTTTGCATGTTTTCAACACATAGCCGTCTCAAAAACCTTTAATAAAAATAGTGCAGCACATACAACAACAAAAGATTACATAAAAATAAGTCTAAATGAACACAATAGACTGATGGAGTACTGGCATTTTTGCAGATTAATACTCCTACGCCCAAACCTCTGAGAAGTTTTGTTGTTGCTGCTGCTTTGTTTTTCTTACAGAAGCACAGCAAGCTCTCGCCCCCTTCATCGTCACCTTTTCCTACAGAAATAGTTACATAGCCGCCTAGAGTGGTCTTATAGACCAGATGGGCGGGGTACAAATCAAATCAAATCAATCAATATATAAATAATCAAGACGGCAAACAGAAAATTACCACAGCTGGTCAAGCACCACATGTGTATCTACAAAATTGTTTTTGAGATCTGAGAATAAATGCCAGATATAGGTTTCAGCTTCAGAACTCACCATACCAAAATATAACCTTATTTTGGGCAGGATTCACAGAGGATCAAGGCTAAATTTCTGGCCTAAATCTTCCAGTGAATTTTGTGATGAAGAAAAGTGTTGGCTTTCTGATTGTGTACAAGAACTCCTACATCAGCTGTAAGTAACTGTCCATACTATATCCCCAACTTCATAATTTTCTAAAATAAGAGGTAGGAAGGAAAAATTAGTGGAAACAAGACATATTACATGCCTTAATGCTCCTCTCCCTAAGTCCTAAATGAGTGGGGACTCAAAAATAGTTTACTCAGTAACAACAGAAATAATTCTCCTCCCAGAACAGAAGGGCATAATCATGATAATAAAGACAAGCAGAATGTTAATGAAAAATGTCCTCGCCCCCTGAAAAGAAATACTGCAGTAAAAAAAAATCTATTCAACTATATAACTATTATATGACCGGACTCTCTAAAAAGATCTGAAGAGAAAAATTTGCAAAGACTGCAAGAAAATCTGATGATCTAGAAAAGTCTCACGGAAAGGTTACTGAATTCTCTGGGTGTTGAAATGAGCCACTTGGAAACATCTGATATTAAAAGCCCAAACAGTCGGTAAGCTGTGCAGGGGTGGGTGGGAAGAGGAAAAGAAGGGACTCCTCTGTTTGGGAGGCACAAAGACCTTCTCTTGCAAGCTGGGAAGAGAAATATTCCCCCAATTATTCATTTCTCCACTTTCTGCCTCTGTTCAGAGACCTTGCAAAATAGTAAGACCGTGCCAAAATAAAAAGCTAAATGAAACTCAGTCCTATTTAATGCATATTGTTAGAGATATCCCCAGCCTCTCCTGACATATCTGTAATTAGGACACATACAGAGCAAAGGTTGTATCTTAGAATGCCCTTAAAATAGGGCAAAGAGGTGACTGCCTGTCTGAAGTCCAGAAAAGCTGGATAAAAAGACTCGTGGGCACAAAGGAACTCTCCTCTGAGGGTGGCCTGCCACCCACCCTAAGGGAACATACACAACTTATTAGCAAGACTGTCTGGCACCAGGACGAGCAAAGACTCCTCTATGACAGAAGGTGGAATTAGGGCAGGGCAACATCTGGTAACTTTTGCTTATCTTACTGTACCTCACACATGGTGAACAGCTGCTTGAACATGATGTCTCACAGATATACAAACACAAAAGAAAAAAGTGTTTCATTCTCTAGCTGCACGATTTCTCCATATGCAGTTTTCCAGTTACAACAAATAATGCAATCTTAAATGAACAAAAAAAGGCAAGAATGATTACATCATTTATCCATCCCTTGCATAAAATATGCATAATTTATGCAAGGGATGGATAAAGTGGATACAGGGAAGCTCTTTTCCCTCTCACGCAATACCAGAACCAGGAGACATCCACTTAAATTGTGTGTTGGGAGAGTGAGAACAGACAAAAGAAAATATTTCTTTACCAAGCGTGGTGTTAGTCTGTGGAACGCCTTGCCACAGGATGTGGTGATGCCATCTAGCCTAGATACCTTTAAAAAGGGAATTGGACAGATTCCTGGAGGAAAAGTCCAGTGGAGGTTACAAGCCATGATAGGGATGTCCAATCTCCAGGCTTAGAAGGAAGGTAGCTCCAAATGTCAGATGCAGGGGAGGGGTATCAGGAGACAGGTATCTAGTTTTCTCATGTGCTCCCAGAGGCATCCTGTGAGATACAGGAAGCTGGACTAGATGGGTCCTTGGCCTGATCCAGCACGGCTCTTCTTATGTTCTTATGACTAACAACACAGAGCAGTCAAGGTGGGGCAGGGAGTAGCCTTTCAGCCAAAATAAGAAATGCTTGGGCAATTCCCCTCTTGGATATATGCTGGTGTCAGTGACACTATTCTTTTGAAGCAAAAAATGACCAACAGGATTGATTAACCTGACTGTGAGGCTTGGAATGAAAAAATGGAGACAAAATGGGATAGCTATGAGCACAACCTGTGGGATCTTATTGTGGCAAACTTACAACCATTAATTCTTATTCATATAAGCAAGAACCGGGACTCAAAGGGTCAAACTGGGCACCTCTTTTCAAACAAGGTTCATACTGGTTTAGTTGAAAAGTTAGTACAGTGCAGCATTTCTTCTAATGTTCTATAGGCTCCACTCCCTGCATGCTTGAGACCGGAAGCAAATGGGTGAAAACACCAGCTTGGCTGTGCACACGCAATGCAGCGCTGCACACACATGTGCCTTAGAGGGAACACTGGCACAGTGTAATGGTTAAGGGCATGAAGCAAGCATGGGAAGCATGCAGATACATCATGGGAACCCAGCAGGAGGAGGTTTTATCACAGCCCTGTTATTTCAGCTTCGGATCTCACCTCAATCTGCAATATGATTAAAAAACAACAACAAAAAAACACCTCTGGATAACATTACAAGCCTTGTCGTCAGGACTGCTAAAACGGACGAGAAGTACCTTGAACTCTTATATTCTGACAAAAATGTTCTCTATGAATTATCTTTATTACCTAGGTATACACTTTGAAAAGCAATTCTGAAAAATAATGAATAAGAAATACTACCGAAACCTACATTAATTATGCAGTCAAGAACAGGGCTGGTTCTTAATGGTTGTATAACCATGGAAGGGACAGGGTGCAGGTTCACATCTTCAGTGGCATGGTGCCCTTCAGTGGTGTCCCCATTGACTTCTTCATCAATGGAAGGGCCACACACGGCCAGTGGAGGCAGGTGGACACTACGGTCCCTGCTGCCAACACTCAGCAGTGTAGGACTTGAAAAACAACCTGCCCTTAAGACTCAATAACATGTCATGTGGGATGGGCACACCTTGTTTGAGGGGGAAATCAAGCTCTAATGTGGCTAAATGGTTTCCCCCCTGCATTTCAGCAGTGGGACAGCAAAGTCTGTTATGGGAGGAAGGATCAGTGGTGAAACTGACCTTGGACCTCACAGCGCAGCCCATTTCTGTTCTCTATAACTGAACAACTGCAGAGCTTTGCAGGCACTTTTACAGAAAGCTAAATTACCTTCACTTCTGTTATGGAGTGGTTCAACACAAGCACACCAAAAGAGTTCCATAGGCACAGAGAAAGAGAGGCATAATATGTCTACAAGTACTGTAAATTTTTTCAGACTCTATGGTCTCAGTGTGCCCACAGCCAAGATAAAACTAAGGGTAAGTAAGCTAAAACTGTCTCTGAAGAGCGACAATATTATTAAAGAACAATACATGAAAAAGCCTCTTAAGATCTTACGAGACATTAAGATGCAATGAAATGAGGATTGCCCTCACATTCCCACAGATGTGTGTGAGGATACAGATAATACTGAACAGCTGAAAGTGGTTGAGTAAGTGAACATCTCTCCTCTTTGACCGCTACTGTAGAGTATACATGAGAGAAGTCTGTCCTTTCTGGAGTAATTCATTTGAACTTATCAAACCTGGCTTAGGAACCTGACATCTTGGTTGTGAAACCTGTCGAAAAATGACTGAAATGCCAATTCTTGCCTCCCTCATTCTTTCTACAGACTGACTTTCTAGTTTGATTTTGGATTTTCTGCTATATTTTCTTGATTCTGTTCTAGTCCCAGTCACTGAAGAAGATGCACGTGTGGTGGAATGGGTCTGATTTTTCTGGTACTTGCTATCATATTATATATTGCTAAGTTGCAACTACCTCCCATTCCCCTCTCGTCACAACAACTGCATCACAGGCAATAAGCAGATATATTTTTCAGCAGACAATGTGGACATTGAACTTGAACAAATAAGATGAGGTCACTATAATGTTTAGTGCAGGAAACTGCACTAAAAGTATCCATTATTGCATAAGGACTGGGGAAAAGACATAGGTGCTGTTTTTAGGAAATCATGAACACAGGCATTTTAATTTTTCAACTGCTGACAGACTTTGAAGTAAATGGTGGCAGATCCATTTTCCTTCTTTCAAAAGCTGCTTACTTCTCAATTCATAATCAAAATTCTCTCTAATTTTCAGTCCCAATGGGCGGGGCTCTGCTCCTCTCTTACACAACTCCCCTCCCCTTGGCTTTCTGTTGTGATCAGAACCAAAGGGGTGGGAAATGATTGCCGTTGATGTGTGGAGGGGGTGGAGTCTCTCGGACACATGCACCTTAGAGAGAGCCTTGCTCATAATCATTAGTAACGGTAGGTAACAAATACCACGGCAATATTTGAGCAATGTCTTATATGGATGAAACATAGCTATGTATGTTTTATGTAGAATCATTTTATTCACTTGGAAACCTCAATGAAATCGTTACTGGAAACAGAAATGTTTGCTATTAGCATATGTAAAATATTTTATGGGCAATTTATTAACTGTTCAGGACAGCAGACAAGAGATCAGTTTGGGCTAAAGAGGCAAAAAAAAATTATGCTAAATCAGGTCAGGCCTGAAATCTCTCTAGTGGTGGAAAGAATTAAACTGTGGCTACTGCACTTTGGGCATACTGTAAGAAGGTAAGACTACAAAAACTGTAAATGATAGGATTTTGTAGAAGCAATTAATTCACAGGGCCTATATACGTCAGAAGTGACTTCATGGCACATACAATGAGCAACTCTTCTTATGGTTCCTACTAAAAAATCCCAACTTAAATATCCTTCAGCACCATGATTCACTTACCATCTGGGTCTTCAGCGGGCTGGATGCTCATATATGGTTCGCCCTTCTCCATACGGGACTGCCTTTGCCGGCTTTCCTCCTCCAAAGCAGCTTCAGCCCGGCTTTTTGCATTGATGTAGGCAAGGTAAGCAGGAGAATTATGGTAGGCCTTCATTGACTCGTTGTATTCTATCTATAGTTTGATAGATACATTTTTATATAAAAATTGCAATCAAGACCGTCTCTCATACCCTTGGGAAGTTCTTCTGACTAAAAGATTCTCGCAGTAAACAAGGATAATTCTGAGCGATGCAAGAAGTGGACACCTCAGGGTAGTTACTGAGATTCAACTGCTCTCTTCTGCAAGGGCAGGGTTGCGTCTAAACATTTCAGTGTGTGTCCATATATAATGAACAGCAAGGGGAATATGATGTTGGGAGGAACTGCAAGAGGGGAGTCTCATTAACTGTGATTTATTTCCAGGTGCCTTTATGTTTAGAGTTGGGGGGCAGAGAGGAGGGCACACAACCTTTGACTTAGGTTTAACGGTACCATTTGGTGTATGTTTGGGTGGGCTCTTTCAAGCCATCCAAGGTATCATGATTCTACCATACTTTTCTTAAAACTCCTGGGAGATCGGCCCTCGCACAGCAAACAGTTGATTCAGGTTCTTCCCTCAACAATGCTCTCGTATATGAGCCCGTTTTTTATCACCTCCTCCAGAACCAGTCTTTTTTAAAAAAGAAAAAAACACACCATATCTTATTTTAGCTTTGTATGTGGGAGAAAGAGACAGAGTTCCAGCGTCATTTGGGAGTGAGAGAGGGAGATTTTCTTCTGTGTACCTTTTCTGCTTCATATTCATTTAAGTACTCTTGCTTCTCTTCATCAGTGAGGTCTCGCCACATGCCTCCAATGATCTTCCCAATTTCCCATAACTTCAAGTCAGGGTTGGACGCCTTCACTTGGTCCCAGACCTTAATAAAAACATCTGTAGTAAAGCTCCAGCTAACTAAATACTTACAAAATTAAATACATCTTTCGTTATTATCACCAGCACGACTATGGTCCTTTCAGAGAACTACCATCACAAGAAAGGCAACATTAAGACAGTTACTTTTGGCTATGCTATGTCCACTGTTTGATCATTTCTCTGGTACAGGAAGACAAGAGGTACAATGTTTATCCACTGCCTGGTTTTTATTTTCAGTCGCATAGTATCCTTTGCACAGCATCCATTTGACTGTATCCTTGCCCTTAAATCCTGCACATGCTTCTTCTCTTTTGTTTTAAGAGAGGCCGCTGGACGACACAAACTTTTTTTTTAAGAACCAGAGATAAAAAGGCAGGTAACACAGTTCTCCATCTGGTTCAGTCTCTCCTTGACATTGGACTGGATCAGGCGCTGTCCATAAGACCTAGGCTCTCATTTTATCAGGAAAAAGTCATTGAATTAAAAAAAGAAGAGGGGCATAGCACTACACCCTCATTTCATCTCCCTAAAGTAAAAGGAGAAGGGTATTTAAAAACAATTAAAAAGTTAAAAAAGAAAAGTAGGTCCTACTGTCACTATTGGAAAGTCCAGCTATAGAGTTGCACCAATCCTGCTTTGCCACAGAAAGCGGAACTTTTGACAAAGAAAATTCTGTCAATAAGTCACCAGATGCATCCTTGTTAGCAGAGGAAGTAGTAGCAAGTTTTAAGCATTTTTAAAAATATGCAATACAAAAGTCTTCATTTCTCCCCAGAGAGCAGGGTGGCCATGTTTCATTCTGTGGTGAAACTTATCTTTTTCCCCCTCCATTTGGATGGTTCACTACTGCCTTCACTGTGAAAGGAGAAGACAACTGCATTCTTAAGCTTTCCCTTAAGGAAAAGAAATATAGCAAGCAAAGCACTCAGATTTGTTTTTTGAATTAAAACACGTTAAAATACACACATACACACACAAAACACTATAAAACAGTTTAAATGCAAGCCCAGATTTTTACGTATGACTTCCTGAAATTAAGACCAAGTGTTTTGTACCCACCTTCCTGCTGTACCTCATGTAAGGCATGAGTGGCTTATCTGGAGGCTTGGGAGGTTTGGGGATTGTAATGCCCGATGACGCCTGGAGAAGAACCAAATAAAATCCACTGGTTATCTTATCTCACACATTTGTGAACTGCAAGATAGAGGTTTGCCAAGAGACATATACAGGTAAGTAAGACAGGAAAGCAGGTCACATTACAGGCTCTCATAAGAAAGCACATATTCTCCAACACCCCGAGTCAGGAACACCCCAACTGTACTCTGACTCTAGTTATTCTGCCTGTCAATACAGAGATTCTGTACTGAAAGCAGCAATGCTGCCAATTTTACCAGCTGCAACATTACCACAGCTCCAAATGTCCATTCTCTTTCTAATGAGAGCAGCTGTTATTGTACATGCACTAATAACTTGAGGCTACATTCACACTACCTTTTAAACACTTGGCTGAGTCTCAGCATTCTGATCAGTACCCACTGCATCACTTCTGTAGCGCTGACAAGTACAGTTCAGGAGGGAATTAAGCTACTCTCACATTGCAACCTCAATTTTCTTAGGATGTTCCATGCTCTGGGAAGTGGGACTATGCTACAATCCTTTGCAAGAGGGGTGTGCCAACTTGGGGCCATCTGATGTCACAGGACTGTAATTGTTACTTCTCAGGAGGGAATTAAGTTACTCTCACATTTCAACCTCAATTTTCTTAGGATCTGTTCCATGCTATGGGAAGTGGGACTATGCTACAACCCTTTGCAAGAGGGGTGTGCCAACCTGGGGCCCTCTGATGTCACAGGACTGTAATTGTTACTTTCCCTCACTTATGTCTATCCTGGCTAGGACTAATGAATCCAACAAAATCTGGAAGGCCCAACAAAATGTGGTAGTTGGCCTATAATAAGTAAGGGAACAGGATTCCTTGCTTGATAGAGAGTCTCTGTCCAGGGCAACCATCTGACTCTTCCATCAGATTAGTGCTACTGCCTTTACATTGGCTTCTTTGGAGTACTGTACTTGGAACTGTTGCTAAGCATTCCAATGATAGTCAAAAGAGATCTTCCCTTAGATTACCAATGGAGAAGAACAAATATGGGTACAATGGGGCAGCTTGCAGCAATAGGTATGGGGCAAATGGCTAGTAACGTTTAACTGTGAATGCAACCTCAAGGCTAAACAAGAGATAGGTAACTTTAGGAAACGCAGAAAGAAGGAAATTCAAGTGCTACACATATCTTTCATTCAAGGCCTTCTCAAGTTACACTTATTTCAAAAAGACAGAAAAAGGGAGAATCTCAGAATATTTGTGGGAACAAGATCTTTGCTAAGCTTGCTCCATCAACCTGTATATCATACGAGTCCGAATTGTACTGTCCAAATCCAAATAAGTTTGTGAGTTCCTGGGTGGACCTTTGTCTTCATTAAAGGTTTATACAAACGCCAAGCACCTTGCCTGTACTCGATAAGAAAGAAAAAGAAAGACACTAAAACAAAGAGGTGTTATTGGCCCTTTCTCTCTACATTTTTGTTTTGAAATAAGCATTTCCACAATTGAAGTCTGTTCATTTCAAAGATCTGCTGATACTGTAGCTGAATTATTGATCAACTGCTGGACGTTCTTCTCCATTATAGGCTGGTGACTTCAGTGAAACTAGTTCCAAGGATACTTCAGCATTCTACATGGATGTGGTTATCAGGAGAGGGTTGTGGCCTACAATTATACCTATGTGTGGAGATACAGTACCAACTATGGTAAATGGACCTCTGTATCTTCAAACCTTACTCTTCCAAACTGTTGCAGACAGCAGAAGAGCTCTGTCTTAGAATATAAAATAATCTCACTATTGATTGTAGTTGTCATCAGGCAGTTGCTTGCATTCGGAGCTTTGATATGCAGTCAGAACTCCATCATCCATAAGGGCTTCACATTCACTTCAAAGCAGAAAATAGATCCTTGTGTGCATGATAAAGTTTATGTGATTTCCGCCTTCCACAGAAATTAAAAGGCAGTCTTTGTGAGCAAAATTTTACTTGCATAATGGAGCAGATACAACACCACTACATGGATTTCAGTTTTAGAATGATCATGTCAATGTCAATTACTTAGTTTCAAGTAAAGCACGTATGGCAAGAATGGCTTCTACCTTTCTAGAAGCACTTGGAAATTGCTTTTTTAATTTTGAACAGAGAAAACCACTTTCTTCTTTGCCATATTTATGAAATGCTATGACTGAGTCAATGCATACATAATTCTGCTGGAATATAAAAATGTTTATGAAGTGTATGCATTCCAAATGTATACAGATATACACACAAAAGATGGATCTGAAAACATTTAGTGAATCAATTTAATGTTTATAAATAAACAGGAATTTCAAAAAGATAAACCACACATATTAAAGTATACATGGCACAAAAAGCTGTAAATGCTCACAACATATATACAATGAAAATCTGTGAAACAAAAGCCCCTATTCCAATCTGAATTTGAAATCAGATTGAAGAGTATTTGGGTGTAATTGTTTTAAATGATTAGTGGGGAAAATACCATGGGCTGGTTCCAGATACTGAACAGAACCATTGATATCAACAGGACTTACATGAACTTAACAACATTGATTTCAAAGGCTCTTTTCTAAATTTGGAACAAACTGTCCTATAAAGTTAGTGCAATTTCATATGTCTCTAAACAAATGAAGGCCCCAATGAGCTCAATAAAATTTCTTCTTAAATGCATCCTCACCATTGTAACTGTGTTTAGTTTCCTATCCCTCTGCTATTTGTTTTCATCTTTCTTTATGTCATCTTTTGTGTGTATGTGTGTCCCACATTTGGGCTGACTAGAGAAATGAAAAAGAAAGCTCCCTTTGATTTATCAACTCAATGTCTTGCGGAGAACCGTGAAAACATGGGCCACTGGATGGCATTTGGTTAAACTGGATGCCATCACTGGATGGCATTTGGTTAAACCATCTGTATAGCAGTTAATTAAAAATAAGGCCCAGTTCCTATTTAAAAAGGGCAACATCACGTCTGGTTTATATAATATTCACTCATACAAAAAGAAAATTTACAGCCATAGAAACTGAACATGTTAGGGAAAAGCCTTCTCAAATTGGCTTGAGCTTCATACCCTGAGAACATTGTATGCAGGAATATTCCACTTTGTGAGCCCCTGCACAGAAGCTGTATAGTAAAGTGTAGCGGCTTAGTGAGAACTAGTGGTGCTCTATGGCTTATTACAGACCCATAATCATGGATAATTGGGAATAAAGAGACCCTTTTAATTGAACATGTACCTGTCTCCTTTATTGATCATAGGGCTAGTCAAAGACATTTCACTTCCCAGTTATCAGAAGATCATTGACTAGGTATGCTGAAGTTGCAGGGCACAGACCACAGCAAGAGCTATCTGCCTCTCTGCCAAAGGGTCCAATACGAAGATTTTTTAATGCTTAATACAGTTCTTCCTTAACCACTTACCTAAAAATTAGTATCACATCATGGAATGAAGACATACATAGGTAAGTGGCCCTCACACTGAAACAATTCATCAGTGGCAGGTTCTGATATGCTTTGACTCCCATGTGAGAACAGCAAGGATATGGCTGTAAGACCTTATAGATTAAGTTCTTTGGGAAGCCAAATTTTCAAGGCAATAACCTTCTTTACTAGACACATGAGTCAAGATGGAGGGAGCAGATGCACTCTCTCAAAAGGTGGTAACTGCTTCTTAATTTCCAGATTCTGACCTTGCTCCAGAACCTAACCTAATTTTCATTTGTCTAAAGAAAGTAACAAGCAAATGAAAAACAGTTTTCTTTTGCAAAAATGGAGAAGTGTATAACTTCTACCCAATTCCAGAACTCTCTTAATTTTTACAAGTGAAGAGAAAGATGCTGATTTCAGCAACGACCATCCCTAGAAAAGGCTCCGGAAATGTCCTAATTTCCCCAAATTTAGTTTTAAAAAAAACTTTTCCTATCTGTAATTTTGCTTTGCTCATCCCCCTCAGTTTTGGCTCAGGCTCTTTGTGTTTATAATTTCATCACCTTCTCAGATAGCTTCATCCATATGGCATTATTTCAGAATGTTCATGCCACAATAAGAGAAGATATACTTGAAGGTGCTAAACTGTTTACATTCTAAATAAATTGCTTCTATGGGTCTGAGAGGCCAATTCAAATGTGTATGTATATCACTTGATGCTTTTCCACTTGACAATTTGTACATCAGTGAGTGAGTCACCTCTCCTGAAAGCCACTGTCAGAGATGTCTGGAAGTGTCATAAGATCTCTGTCAATGATGCCTCATCTATTGTACGTTTCATATATAACTTCATGTTCCAGTCATCAAGTGACATACAGGTGAACTTACCCAAAATCTTGTTACAAAAAAAAAATCTATTATCTAAAAGTTAGTTCCTACACAGTGAGAGAGAGGAAGACTAGGTAGAAAGGGAAAGAAATTGCAAGTTAATTTTTCATGTTTATATTAAAAAAATAAATAAATAGTGGTAGCAGCTAAGATTCAGAAGAACCTAACTCTAAAGCCATTTCTGGTCACTTCCTGTTGTTTGCCGGATGACGTAATAGTTGATTCTCCTACCGTAGCCCGGCTGTTGGTGCCCGGGTTCCCTCCCAGCCTGTAGTTGTTGTAGGCCAGATGGCTGTATGGATTGTATCCCACAAACCCCGGTGTGCTGGGCATTTGCTGATGGAAACAAATGAGACAAAAACACGAATGAGAAATGAGTCTCAATGAGGAGAACACAGAGAAATGAAAATGGTTTGCAATACAGCATGCAAAAGCAACCAGAAATTTAAACAAGCAAAATGAGGTGTTGCAGCAGCTAGGCCCCTCACAAGACAGCCAGTTAGCCTGAATGAAATCTGTCAAGAATACCAGAATTCTTCTCTTTAAATTCTTGTCACTATAGAGTCTGTGTAGCTGTAACTTCCAAGAATGGCAATAACAAATTAAACGATTTATGATCTATTTCAGAGGAAACTAGGTTATCAAAAACACACAAACACTTTCCCAAAACTAGATCCATCAGGTGGGAAGGTGAAATAAGAGGAGGAAAACAGTCCTTCTTCACAGCATTTAGCAGCAATGGTGTCTGTGCAGAATTGTGCATATTTTTCTGTCTTGTTTTGTTAAATATAAGTTTCTATCCTACATCAGCAGTGTTCACCTTTCATTTCAGAAGGGAAATCTGGCACAATGAACACACACAGGCACAAAATTGGATCCTCTAACTGTACCAACTTGAATATATATATTTTCTAAAGAACCATAAAAAGAAACACTTGAGAATCTTACCCGTTTCAGATGCTACCAAGTATGCTGGGGGCCTAGCCCTGCACAAGGCTCAAATGCATTTCAAGTTTGTTTAGGATCAACATTAGACAGCCACTGCTGGTACAGCAGTAGTAATGTGCTCATAAGAGGGTTACAAGTTCTTGCCATCCCATGGAAGGAATTCATTAGTTGTGTTTATATAACAACATATAATTTTATTAAGCAGAGATATACAACAGACTGCACCATTTATTTATTTGTGTGCATTATAACACAAACTGAAAACCTCTAATTAATGCAGTTTTCCTGTTTCAATGAGATAATGATTAATGAGAGGTGTTCAGGTTTAACTGTGGCTCATACAAAAGGGGTCCATGAACAAGCAAAAGACAATTGTATGATGTGAAGTCAATCCTTCTCCCACAGCTTAACTTATCCCATAGGGTTGGTATGAAGATAAAAGGAGTTGAGTTGGAAACAGACTATGCACCTGTTCCCAAAATAAGAGCAGAAGAAAATGGAAAAATGCATTAAATAAGACACTTCTAGATATCCAGGTTTTGATATGGGACTGTTTCAGTTCTGGATACAACTTATACCAGTTATAGTATATGCTACTGTGAAAGTTTGTGCCAATATTGTTGTACTGTGCAATATCAAAATTAGTTGCCATCCCAAAGAATAAGAATCCAAACAAGCAATTACTTTATTTCCACATAATAATACACATCTCCCATATCTCCCTTCCCTTTCTTCAATGTACACAAAATGGAGAACACCATTTTGGAAAAGCAGCAGAAAGTGTTTGAGCACAAATACACATGCTTTGATTACAGAAATGAGTACCTGTAGTATCTGAATGCTAAAGGAAAGAGTAGACCTGAAATGAGGGAGTTCAGAGAGGAGTTCTTACCATTCCCACAAGACTGTCATTCTCAGTCTTCTTGAGTGAGCAAAGCCATGAGAATTCCTAATTTAGAGTTAAAATGTACACAGAGAATGAAGAAAGTCCAAAGGGCACATAAAAGTGACTCAAGAGACAGAAAACGCCCCGAGACTGCCCACGACACAAATTGTGTTTTAAAAATCCAACCAAAAGCATTTGAAGCTTTTACAGAAAGAGGTGCTGCTGAGGAGCCAGAAAGTAGAATGCTAGAAGATCTTGTCCACATATGGATTCTTCCTATTTCTGTGACTTTCTACATGTTTATTTTTCAGGGAAGAAAAAAAAATTAAAACAAATCTGGTTATTAAAGCCTGATGCTCTCCAAATATTCCAAAATGGCAAGCAAATTTCAGCTTTCCAAATATACCATGTACCAGATCAATCAATGACAAAAGGGCTAATTTGTTCAAATGCATCATGAATTTGTAAAAGCTAAGAAAAACTAAAGTTTTTATTTTACAAAAATAACTATTTAAAGGAACAAGGGCAAATTATTATTTTTTTGAAGGGGACTGGAAGAGCAATAAACTCCAGAGTTACCTACGATCTATGGGACAATATTGAAATCAATTAATTAAAGTTAACTCCAATGACTGCTAAAATGTTTCACATATACAGACAACAGTCCATATTTTCAAAAATTAAGGCAAAATACTTAAAAATACTTTGAGAATAAACTACAGGCAGACTAAAGGAAATGTGAGTTCCCCATTAGCATGTCTTTAAAACACTAAGTTAATTTAGTAGCAACTTACAAGAAGTAAAAAAGTGAAAATCCCAATGATATGCTTGGCTTATTGCTGAAGTCAAGACCAATCTGAACAAAAATATTTCAGTGCTCCAAGTTGTCATGTGATATGTTTGTGAAATACGTCAAGTGCCTTACAATTTTTAAATGAAAGATGTTTTAGAAATAGAAGATACTGTTGAGCATGGTCCTCTGCAATGCAAGAGATCCAATGCCCATTTTGCTCCAGAAGAACCAAGTCCAAACCTCTATTCAGCCAGGAACACATTGCAGGACCCTGGACAAGTTACTTTCCAAGGGCAACCTAACTAACAGAGTTGCGGACTGATTAAAATGCAGGTGTCAGCTCTACAGTGAAGGGCAGGATACAAATGTAGGAATAACACCTGGAATCCCTTAATGCTAGAGGAATAAAGTACAGTAGAATGTTTTGTTGGTTTAGTCACTGGCATTGAGTACAAAAAGCATATTTGCCTGTTTCTTGAAGCCATTTTGGATTTGAGCAATTGAGAAGATATTTCTAACAATGAATAGTAACTTCTCTTTATTAAGCTATAAAATATTTCATTATCCCTTTCAATATTCTCATAAACCGAAGATATGGTATGTAATGAACCCATTCATTACAACCGTTGGTTCCCCACAGTATCTGATCCCTTTGGGTTTCTAATGGACTCCACAACATCTATTTCACACAACACAATGATTTCTGAGGCTAAGATGATGTCCTTAGTGGACCAAAGACACTTGTACTTTTAAATGCTTCATTTTTAAGACCTCTTATGTCACTGTTTTTAAATACTAAATTTTTGACCATCTGGAAGTTGTGAAACTGAAGTATCAAATATTTTAAAATAGTATTTCTCATTAAGAATTATTGTAAAGTATAAAAGCAAAAGGCAAAAGTGGCATATTTAAGAACAACAATTTTCAGTGTGAGTTTTCACAGATTACAGTCCACTTCTTCTTCAAAAAAGACATTTATGAAAGAGGTAGATTGTAATCCAGAATAAATTGTGTCTGTCCAGTGAATCTTGTATTTTCAGCATGTTCCCAAAGAACAATTGTCAATTATCTTTGCTTCTAGAGAGCATTCATCCTAAATTTGATCTGTGAATTATGTCCCGTCAAGTTGGTACTGATTTATAATTACTCTAATTGGGCTTTTCAGGTAAGTGACATGTTTAGGGTTAGGGCTTTACCAGTTAGTTCCACTCCCCCAAGTGAATTTCTAGAATAAGCAGGATTTGAACCTAGATCTCCCGAATCCTAGTGCAACAGTCTATTCACTATATCACATTATATCTGTGTTTTGTCTTAAAGATGCCACAATATTTTTATTTGTTTTGCTGTTATTGTTGAAATGGATCATCATGGTTACCCAGCTGAAATATTAGAGAAAATAATTTAGTAAAGAAATCTTTACATAGATTTATCTTGGCGACAAGTGATAGCACTTAAAAAAATTCTCTAGCTATTCTTTCTACCTTGGATGTCTCAGGTCAACATATAATATGTTAATGATCTTCATCTTCATCATAGCGGCACACCATCAAGTCACTTCTGATGACCCTTTCCAGATTTTTCTAGGCAGAGAATTTGCAGTAGTTTACTATTCCCTTCTTCTGGGGACATCCTGGGACTGGATTGTGCAGGCAAGCTCTTCCCTGATGCTCAGTGGGGAACTGAACTCCCAACCTCCGACTCTGCAGCCATAACTAACTAAACTAGCATTAAAACTCCCCACCTGTTTAACAACTAAAAATTACTTGAAGGCAGTGATGTGAAATGTGTAGTCCCCGCTATGGCCAATAATGAGGGATAATGGGTGTTTTGCAACATATGGAGGGCCACATGCTTTCCATGTCCTGCATAATCAAATGAATTTGCTTTCAGAAACTATGAAGCCCTGCAATACCAAAGAGAAAGGATGGTTTGCACATCCACATTTTGTCTCTCTTGGGAGCAAAATAGAAAAGCACTCAGAGATGTCACTGGGGAGGGAGGCACTGCATAGTGAAAGCCCAAGGCTAAACCAATTTCTTGGAAATAATTATTTTTAATATAAATGTTATTCAACTAATCTGATGGAACAGTTGAATTATACAACTTTAGCTAATGGAGATTGAATTCAATATAAACAGAATGGAAAGCAGATTAAGTCACAATGGGCTTTATGTAATAAGAAATGAGACCTCAGGTCGGCAGTGAATCACTTCTAATAGTTGTGTCCCAGCTAAAATGGCAACTGGTGGTGGTGGTGAGGATGTAACTCTTAAATAGCAACACCTTGATTATTCTGCACAAAACAAAGCAAGACTGTAATTCAAAGGTAAGAAGAAATCAAAGGGGAAGAATACTATTGTGTGAGAGAAAGGTAAAGAGACGATTCAGTTCATGCTTCTCTCCAGTATTTTCAGTGCTGGAAACAACCAGATCTAAAATTCCCTGAAATTCACAAACTTGAAGTAAGTAGGCTTTTTGTTTTGATGGAGTGTTTGTGTTTACCAAAAACATGTCAAATATTTGACAGGGATAATATCCAAATACATACAAGTGTCACTCTTGTATAGTTGATACACCGTTCTGGTAACTTTCAGGTTGAAAGTGAGTATGTGCACCATGTAAGTATGTGCAAACATTACTAGACAAAACCAAAACACCACCAGTAAACATAGTGCCGCCTTAAAGTCTGGTATCTATTCATGTGACTCATCATGGATCAAGTCCACCTCCTCAGACAATGCCTCAGTATCTTTAAGATGCCACTGTTTCTGACTGTGGTTATTATTACTGGTTTTGTATGGATAGTATGGTAACTTATTATCTATCCTGTGTCCACGTGGGAATGGTGAGTAATACATACAGAAATCACTGCATTGGTGTAGTAAGTGAACAAGTTGCAGCTTGACTCTGCATGTAGTCTTCAGATATCTCTCAGCACCAAAGCAACAAGTCATGAACAAGTCTCTAGGAGACTTCACCTTCTGTTCTTTGTTTTACTCATTGTATACACAAATATTCTCTACATTTTTAATCAGAAAGCTACTCTACAGGAGAGATGGAAGCCATGCACTATCCCTTCCATGAATCCACTGAAGGTTTTCCCCTACTCCTGTGCTGCAAACTTGGTAATTCTTCATTTAATTTTGACAGTGCAATGGCAGCAAAAGAGGACAATTTTTCTTTAAAAAGGTATGCAGAGAACACGCATCTTGCTTCTACAGGGTAGCAAATCTGGTGATAGTGGGACACCAAAGAAACCGGGAGAGGAGTCATACATTGCCTGTGTATTGGTCACTCCAATCCACTGCTTTTGATTAGAACTGAACTGTCAAGTTTCAGCATGGCCATGCCTTTTAATTTTGTGACTTAGTAGCTGCAAGAAAAAAATTCTCCCATATCTGCTGCAACATGTCACTTTAGAATAAAAATCTAGAACAGAGGAAAAACCACACATCTTTATTATTGTCAATACACACATACTCATATGAACACTTTTTCAAAGCCATGGCTTGCATTTTCCCAGGTTTCAAAAAAACACACAGCAACATTTTTGACAAATTATTTAGCTTTAAGACGTTTTGGGGTGTAGTAAGGTCATGTAAAGGAATAGCTCCAATAAGCAAAACAAATATGAACTTCTTTGAAAACTGATGTCAAATATATGCTACAATTATAGCCTGAAGACAGACATTCTGTATGCATGAAGCCGCAAGTTCTAATTCTAGCTAATAGCACTACAGAAGTAGGGTTGGAAAGACGTCTGTGGTATGGATTTGTATCAGACTTCATCATAGTGGGTGAAAGGAACCTCTGGACTGATTCTGTGTGCAGAATTCCTGATATTTTCTCTTTGGAGTGAAGCTAAAATAAAATCAGACTTCAGAGTTTGTGAAATAAGAAAAAAAATACTCCCATACTTACGGTTGTGGGGGCTGGGGTGGGTGGTGGGGCATAAGATGGCCTTTCTGTTTCAAAAAGAAAAGGAAAGAGGAATGTTTTTATAAATGAGCTAGAACTCAAAGACTGCAATAAACATTTAGGAAAACTAAATCAAAATGTCAGTTGGTAAGAGAGGAAAAAAGAGAAGAGCTTTTATTTGTGCTAATAATCTAAATACAATTATAGAGTTTCCAAGCTCTATATGAATTTTTTGTGCAGTTCTTACATGTCCTTGCAAATTTACAAGCTTCCTACTTCCAACAGCAAAACTGACTGCTGAACAACTGTAAATTGACACAGTCTTATATAAAATGAAGCATAATTTTAACATGGAAACATTTTTATACAAGTCATGATTCTCACAAGAAAACTACGTTAATGAGAAAAATCTGCACATGTATCACGCAAGATGCATGTACCATTTATCTAACTTCCGAAACCAGTGAAGGAAAGAAAGCAATAATATACGGACCGAGTGCAACAAGGATTCTACTGGTGCCAACAGAATCTATAGGGTTCTGTCATATGGAAAAGTACATATTACAAGGTGTGTGGGAGCAAAAAAAGTAGGAGGAAAAACCCACAGAGCAATGATCCATAGACTCGGAGCCCAAAATGTTCTCAGATTAAAACTTCCAGAACCTGCATCCAGCTTAGCCACTGGGCCCAAAATTAGGGAATTAGTGTCATGACAGCATTAAGTGGAAGGAGAGGTTTTTGCTTTCATTGTTTTTGGTAACACTGAATTGGACCCAAATGTAGCCATTACAACACATACACTAGAATCAAGAGGACAAGTCATGACAAACTTAAATTCCATGTTCAATAATGATAACTGTATGCCGTAGTTAATTGAGACATGGAGACTCTTTCCAGGGTTGTCTAGATAGAAAGTAATCAACAGTGGTTTACCATTTCCTTCTTCTTGGGTCACCCTGGGATTGTGTAGCTTGGTCATCATCACACATGCTGGCTTTTCTGGGATGCACAGTGGGGAACTGAATTCCCAGTCAGTGGCTCCACAGCCAGATACAGAGTTACTGAGGCCAGCCCTTCATGTTCAACAGATTTGCTTTTAAGAATTGCTTTGCCTGCCTCCAACCTAATATTGTGAATGTACAGCTTTATGACCCTTGCTATTTTTCCTTCTTCAAACATCTTATCAGTGGCTTGCCTAGAGCAAGTAGAAGCTGTCAGAAAGTTTTGTATGGCTTTAATATGTGTGCACACATGTTTAAAACTAAAACCAGTTGACTAATATGGATACAAATATTGTGACCGTGGATCACAGAGCAAGGTTTGTAGTTTCTCCTGTGTCAACAAGAACTGCACTACACAGTTTTGTCTTTCCAGACCTTCTACTCTATGAATGTTTTACTTAGAAAGCAATCAACCTGAGTTAAACTGAGTTTACTCCCAAATAAGTTAGGACAGGATAGCAGCCAAAAAGGTATGTAACTTAAACATGAAGATTTTAAGAGAGTACAACCACCTTCAGCACTGAGACATAAAATAAAATGATCTGTGAGATCCGATTATATGGATATGTTAAACTAAACAACAACAAACGTTTGCTAAACTTACTTGACATTTTGGTAGATAACCATTCAGCCAGATGACATTTGATCTGAAAGATAGCAGTAATAATAGAACAAGGATATAAATGAAGTTCAGTCTAATGTATAACAAACTGAATAAATACAGTCCATTGAGAACAGCCACAGCACTGATAGACTTCACAAAGCCACACACACACAAAATAAACCCTACAAGTCCCACTATTGCCCTTTTTAACACAGACACACAGCATATTACAACAGTTGCCAAATACAGTGATGCTTCGACTTACGAACGCCCTTACCTACGAAAATTTCGAGTTACGAAAAGCTCCGGCCACAAAATTTTGCTTCAACTTGCGGCCAAAGCTTCGACCTAAGAACAGAAAAAGGCAGGGGGAAAGGGCGGGAAATTCAAACCGTTGGTGGCGAAGAGGCTGCTTCTTTGGTAGCTCTTTCGCCCCAATGGTTAGAGCAGGGGGGTCAAGGAATCTTTTACTCCTGTGGGGCAGGAGGAGGAAGGAGAGGTGGGGGCAGCTCCAGATTGCCGGCGGGCGCAGGAAGCTGGTGCAGAAGGCACGGCTCTACTCATAAGTAAGGGCGGCTAAAGGCGCTGGGCTGAGGCACACGGGTGGGAGGGGCTCCTCCGTGGACGGGGCGTTGTGGCAGCGGTGCAGGAGGCGGCTCCCCACTGGGACTGAGTGCCATTGGAGGAGTCTTCTATCTGCCTGGCAAGGGGCTGCTTTTTCTTTTTTTAGAAACTTCTGGGTGGGTTTTGCAGTGTGTTTCGACTGAGGGGGGTTGTTTCTGTGTTATGTTGTTTTTTGCAGTCCCAGCATGGGGCTTGCTCAATGTTTATTTTTGGTTGTTGAGGTTTTTTTTTTTGCAGCCTTTGGGGCTTGCTCTGTTTATTTTTGTTTTTTTTTTTAAAAGCCTCAGCGCCTTCCGATGGGGCTTTCTGTGTACTTTAATTTTTTTTTATTTTTTTGAAATGCTGGAACGGATTAATCCCATTCCCATGCATTTCAATAGGAAATGCTGCTTCGATTTACGAAAATTTCGAGTTACGGCCACTGTTCCAATACGGTTTAATTTCCTAAGTCGAGGCACCACTGTACCACAAAGGAGGAGATATCTGTAACAAAGTGAATAGAAGTGAGGTAATGCCAACAATTTTTTCTCCCCTTCATTTCTCTAACACAGAAATACATAATATGAGGAAACAGCAGGGTCACCCTATGTATAAAGATATCTTGCTTTACAGTAATTAATATACAGTACAAGCAGAGGTAGTCTAGAAGTGATGCTTAAGATTGCTTGCAGTCTATGGAGTAAATTGTTCAAATCTACTCTGACTCCATATACAGAAACAATATACTGTATCTCTGTTGAGGCAATGACAAGGAACACATTTCACAACCACCAATCATGAGCACTATGGAGCTATGGTGCTTTTAAGAAAAACTCAACAGTAAGTTTAGGATCAGTTTCGGAAACAGAAAAGATCCTCAAGTGCAACTGAATCTTGAAATAAGGATGTATTGCAGAAGACCAAGGCTATCCACATTATGGCATTCGTGATTAATACATACAGATGTGAAATACAGATGAAAAAGAGAAATGTCAAAAAAATCATTTGAAATGCAGTAATGGAAAACTGAATACCATGGACCACCAGAAAGACAAATAAATGGATCTAAATCAAATCATATCTGAATTCTCACTAGAAGCTAAAATGACTAAATGGAAGTTATTGTACTTTGGACATATCATGAAAAGTCTCGTTGGAAAAGGCAATAATGCAAAGAAAATTGAAGATGGTACGAAAAAAGGAGGACCAAACAATACTGTAGATGGATTGACTCAATGCATGGGAAGCCACAACCTTGCTTTGCACGATCTTAGTAGGGCTGCTAATTATCAGACTAAGTCACAGGGTTTTTGAAAGGTAGAAGCTACAGTGGTAACCCGCTTGTCGACAATAATCCATTCCAGGAAAATCGCCGTTAAGCGAAATTGTCGTCAAGAAAAAAAATTGGAATGCATTGAAAACTGGTTACTGCGTTCCAGTGGGGGAAATACCTGATCGTCCAGTGAAGATCCTCCATAGGGCGGCCATGTGTTGCGAAAATAGGTCCAGAAAACAGCGGGGAGCCATTTTGCAAAGCGCTGATACGCTGTTTTTAATTGTCGTCCAGCAAAAAAACGGTTCCCAAAGCAGGGACCGAAATGACGTAAAGCGAAAAAAAACCCCATAGAAACATCAATTTGCGATCACAAAAAAGTCATCGAAAGTGATTTCGTCGTCTAATGGGGTCGTCGTCAAGCAGGGCACCACTGTACTTGATGGCGCATAAAAAGTACCCATGAAATACAGAAAATCTGTGGTACTGCCTTTGCATTCTTTGGGAAAAAAACTTTCTCTTTGACTTGCTAGTTTCTCATAGAAATAGTTTTAATTAGGGGAGCACCCAGAGGGACGTGGTGGCGCTGTGGGCTAAACCGCAGAAGCCTGTGCTGCAGGGTCAGAAGAGCAGCAGTCGTAAGATCAAATCCACGTGACGGAGTGAGCGCCCATCACTTGTCCCAGCTCCCGCCAACCTAGCGGTTCGGAAGCATGTAAATGCGAGTAGATAAAAAGGGACCACCTCGGTGGGAAGGTAACAGCGTTCCGTGTCTAAGTCGCACTGGCCAGGTGACCACGGAAGATTGTCTTCGGACAAAACGCTGGCTCTATGGCTTGGAAACGGGGATGAGCACCGCCCCCTAGAGTCGAACACGACTGGACAAAATTTGTCAAGGGGAACCTTTACCTTTACCTTAGGGGAGCACCCAGATGTACAAGCTGGATTTCAAAGGGGCAGAGGAACTAGAGACAAAATTGCTAACATGCGCTGGATTATGGAGAAGCCAGAGAGTTCCAGAAAAACATCTACTTCTGCTTCATTGACTATGCAAAAGACTTTGACTGTACGACCACAACAAACTATGGCAAGTTCTTAAAGAAATGAGAACACCTGACGACCTTATCTATCTACTGAGAAATCTATATGTGGGACAGGAAGCAACAGTTAGAACTGGATATGGAGCAACTGATTGGTTCAAAATTGGGAAAGGAGTACGACAAGGCTGTATATTGTTTCCCTGTTTATTTAACATATATGCAGAATACATCGTGCTGAACTGGATGAATCCCAAACCGGAATTAAGATTGCTGGAAGAAATATCAACAACCTCCGATATGCAGATGATACCACTCTGAGGGCAGAAAGTGAGGAAGAATTAAAGAACCTCTTAATGAGGGTGAAAGGGGAAAGTGCAAAAAATGATCTGAAGCTCAACATCCAAAAAACTAAGATAATGGCCACTGGTCTCATCACCTCCTGGCAAATAGAAGGGGAAGATATGGAGGCAGTAACAGATTTCACCTTCTTGGGCTCCATGATTACTGCAGATGGTGACAGCAGCCACGAAATTAATGTTAAAAAGTAGGGACATTACCTTGCCGACAAAGGTCCACATAGTCAAAGCTATGGTTTTTCCAGCAGCAATTTATGGAAGTGAGAGCTGGACCATAAAGAAGGCTGACCAGTGAGGAATTGATTCTTTTGCATTGTGGTGCTGGAGGAGACTCTTGAGAGTCCCCTGAACTGCAAGGAGATCAAACCTATCTACTGTATTCTGAAGGAAATCAACCCTGAGTGCTCACTGGCAGGACAGATCCTGAAGCTGAGGCTGGACAGTGTCAATATGAATCTGACCAAAGTGCAGGAGGGAGTGGAAAACAGGAGACATGACTTAACAACTAAAGAATAACAACAAGGGAAGCATTCCACATGCAGTCCTTTTTAAATACAGTATTTATATATGGTACTGAAATGAAAGGATGTTACTGTTTTCTGTGCCCGTACACTGGATTTTACTATTGAAAGATTAATGCATGATAACTCTGAGATCCACCATCAGCCAATGTACAATATTGGTCTGGATGGACCAAACGAAATACTGTATAGCTTTCTAAGCTAGCTTGAGTCATCTGAAATTATCTGTACTGTGAACTCTTTAACATGCTACTTTATTGCTACTACTTTTTGCTAGCCACAAGCTGCAGCTTATTTTTTTAGGGTTAGTAAATAATTATTTATAATATTATTTTTCAAGGAAACCATTCAATAAATCTCTTAACCTCACAACTTGATACGTATATACATAATCACTCAACATACTATAGAATAAGATCCACATAATTACTAGAATTACTTTTGAATTAGACTATGTGCTAAGTACACATAAATAAAATAACCACACATTATTCTCATTCTGCATTTACATCTCTGTTATCTCCTTTTGATTTGACATATGCATTTATAAGTCCACCTGTGCAGAAACCTATGCAGTATTACTTTGTAAATCACCACTCACTTACATGGCATAAAATAGTATAACATTAGTACTGTATAATATAAGTAAAAAGATTCCTTAGAATGATGCACCTTCACAGCAGACAAAGGATTTAATGGAGTCTATTTTCTTTTACATTGCCTATACAATACAGTTATTTGTACTTTCTAGACACCGAAAGATCATGGTGTCTCCTATTTACCCTTGGTCTGGTAACCTAGGTATGACACCTAATTGATTTTGAACATTCAAATCCCTGATAAGGGCCATATGTTGCTAGACTACCACCCCCTCCTCCCCAGCCAGAACAATAAACGGAGAGAGAGAATTATGGAAACTGTAGTCCAACATCTGGAGAACCACACACTCACACCCAGCTTCAATTTAAACAGCATTTCTGGGTGTTCATAAATCGAGTTTATGCTTTCAGAGAATACAAGGCTCGCTTTCGGACGTATATTTACGCTACTCCATTTATCTGCTTTTTAAAAAAAGAACAAAACCCCAGCCATTAAAAGCGCAAGATACATAAATAAATAAGTGCTGGCAGGCTCCCAACCTTCTCGTTACTGTTTCGCAGCGGGGGAAAGCAAGAAAACGGGACCCAAGTCTTCCTCACACGGCTATGAAGGTGGCCAGCATCACTTTAACAGGGACAAGGGGGAGAGCAGACTGGTGGTTATTAAGGGGGGGGGGAAGACGACGACCCGGGTTTATCTTTCCTTCACCTCTCCAAAACCAAGTCTCGTCTAGGGCCTTTCCACTCACCAGCTTGAATGTAGGCCTCAGGCCTTGTTTCTTTGTCTCTAATCCGAAGGAAACGATGGAGGTAGGGGGGAGGCTGGAGAAGCAGACGAGGAGAGGCGGCGACGGCACCTTCCGTTTCCGTACTTTCCACACAAACCTTCCCCTGACAGGCCAAAAAAAGGGGGGCAAAATCTAAACAAGACCCATCAGGTACCACTATCCACAAATGAGTTTCCCGTTTAGAAAGGAGATGTTCTTCAATTTTATTTTGCTTTTTCCCCGAAAAGAAGGGACCATGAGGCCTCAGCGAAACACCTAATCCGTTTACAATACTATATTTACCTTAGGAAAAGGGGCGGGAGGTGAAAGGAGAGGGTGGTGCGTGATAAGTCATGTGAGGGCGTCATGACGTAATCAATGAAAGGCATAGGCTGAACTTCATAGAGGGAATAAACCATAGAGTCCATAGGCAGTGTGGCTCACATTTGGAATTTTAAATTGTTGTTCATCCCTTAAAATTTTTTTTAAGTTTCTTTCAGCTTAGTAATGCTTTTTGAAAGCCTCGTAAGAAATTAAACTCCCCTTCTCTCAATATATTGACGCAGCTAGCGATACCGAGGCATTGCCACAGGCTGCGGTCCTATCACAGGACAAAGGCGTCTGTCGTGTTGCTGTTTTTGAAGTGCTAAAAGTGAATGATATGTACTTCTCTTACAGAATTTTTTGGGGGATTTCCCCTTATGGGGCTTACGTGCTCAATTATAAAACCTACAGGGGTTTCCCCCTGAAAAATGGTGGGCACTGGCGACTGAAATTCGTTAATAAAACAACAGTACTTTCGGGGGGCTAGAAACTTTAGTGGTAACTTTCTAAATTCTGAGCTGAACTCTTGAATTTTCTTGGGCCCTGCCTATGCCTTTTTAAGACTGTAGTTTTCTCTCTTAGCAGCCCAAGGTGATTATCTCACAACCCAATACAGGTCACATAGAAGCAGGGCTAGTGTTGGCGGGACATCTTAGGGATTGCTATGCCTCCCCAAGTCTCCCGTGGGAAGGGGGGGGGAGTATACCAGGCAGAAGCTTCTGGAGAAGCAGCAGCTTTGATCGCCCCTCCCATCCTGTGACCTAGCTTTAAGGTCACTTGAAGGAAGTTATATAAATCAAATAAATAAGTTCTGGATGCTCGCCCCCAGTGGTTCTTAGCTGGTGCCAGAGGATTGCATTTTCATAGTGTCAGGGTACCAAAATGCTGAGAGAGAGAGGACTGAGGGGAGAGCCAATGAATGTGTGTACTTGTGCTGTTCAGACAATTTGAAGCAATATGTGGTGTGGTGTGACAGCAGCAAGACTGCATCTTCCTGTTGCATAAATTCTGATAGCTGCAGCTTAAAGCTTGAGGAAACAGTCCTCATGAGCTGGTGAAGAGCTTTTCACAAGCTCCAGCAGCAGCTTAGGACAACTCATGTGTCAAGTGTTTTTAGGTAAGGCCACACAGGATCAAAGCCCTAGTGGGAATAGCAAGAACCAGTAAAGCTGCTAGATGTCTTTTGCTATCAGCCCAGCTGTTGAAAAATGCTTTCCCTCACTTCTCCCTTCCCAGAATTTGTTGGTTCAGAAACAGTTCCAAAACCCTACACAGCCCTCACTTACCTCATCTCTGTACTTTTAAAAGCTCTCATACGTAGGATATCACAAAGGCAAATTCGTGTGACATCACAAGAACCTATTGCTTAGTTTCAGGTGTTGGCTTTGAAATCTCAAGGAATGCAATACTTTTGACAATCTTAAATAGGACTGAATTACCATGGCTACTGCTTTCAGAAGTGCCATCATTGAGCAACAGCATCAGCTAATTCCCTCACCAATGTGATGAGGAAAATCTTACAGATGGCATGTTTCTGACAGGATCACAGAGTCTTAGGATGCCATCTGGTATCTTGAGAATTGCTGTGCTGCGGATACCTATTTATTTATTTAAAATACTGTATTTATATCCCACCTTTCTTCTTAAAAACAACCCAAGTCACAGTGATAAATATCCAAGAAAGGATATTGGAGGGGAAAGTTTAATTTTTATGTATGAGGTGGCTTTAAAGCTTGGACATACATCTCATTTGAACCTGGTTTCACCTCATGTCATTGCTCACTGGTTTAGTGCAAAGTTCCAAGTGTGTTGCACATGTATTGCATGAGTGCACCAAATTTTCGAGTATGGGTAGGGAACTGGGTAAGAGGTGCATGCATGTAGGCCCATTGTGTAATTTGGAGCAACCAGGGAAGGAAGAAAAAAAATAGCTGACTGGTGATGAGACTTCCACAATCTCTTGCAGCAGTGTAGGGGCTGGAAGAGTTCCCCAAGGGTTATGTCCATTGCAAGTAAGCCACATGCAATGTGAACCTTAGCAGGAATGATGGTAACCACTTCAGCTGTTGTGCACATTTCACTGTCTGCCTGGTCTTCAAAAGACCAGATAGTATTGGATTCTGGGACCATTTAAGTAGATGCTCTTAATTCAGTTTCCAAGTCTGTTGACCCAGAAGAAATCCCAGCTTCCAATCTTCTCTCCTATGTTTCTATTACATCATAGAAGCACATTTCTTCTCATATTTGGCCATGAATTTTAGGGACTTGGATGCTGCTAGCTGTTTACCATAATTCTTAATGCCTTAGTTGAAGGTGTGTATACTGTATATAGGTAGCTAAATTATTAGTGCCTGCTAAGAAAAAAGTACAACTTGCTTTACAGGTCAGCAACTGGAGCCCCTGGGCCTAATTTGCCTTCCTCTAAAATGCTGTCTTTCACCTGCTGCTAGAATGACATCTGTAAGAACAGAACCTGCTGGAAGATCAGTGAGTGAAAACTAAAGCAATTAAGACATGATGGCTGCCGCCTCAACATTTAAACCTTCCCTTAAATTGTCTGCCAGACATTTTAGTGTTCTTATATTTTTTGTTCATGCAACTATCCAAAAAGAAATATCTTTGTTTAAAAAATATTGCTATTTATTACAAGCCTTTTGAATGAAAAGGACTAAGCTATTAAAAAAATAAGTCTGGATGGAAAGCAAATACAAAGAAAATTTCAAGGACTACGTAATGTCTTTAAATAAATAAATGCTGTCTGGAGAAGCAGCCAAGTGTCAAGTCATCCCAAAAGGTATTTTCTTTTCTCTATTAAAACTGGTAGTAATTAATACTTTGAAGTCAGATTAAGTGACTACGTTTATCATACCAATGTGACAATTTCCTGGGAGTGGGGTTCTATTGTGTGTATTTAGATGGAAACTGTCAGCGTTCTTTGACATGTCTGGATAAAGACAAACATCTGAAATATGACTAAGGACTTATACGAAATACTTATTTTTGATAAGGGGTGTGTATAGTTATTTCCCTTGAATGTTGGCTGTTTGTTTTGTTTGCCAAGTTGGCTGTATGCACTTCAGTAAAAAGCAATGCATAAGATTCTATCTGCCCTTCTTATTTCTTTAAATAATTTTGTTATAAGACATTCTGGCTTCAGGAATAAGGTTGTCATTCTTGAAGACAGGAAATAAGATTATCATAGCTGACAATGATCTGATGGATGGGCCTTCCTTTTTGAATCTGTAGCAAAGCTTGTGTAACACTGGAAAGCATTTGTTTCAATTCTAGTATTTCAGGGAGAAATTACAGTAATTCCAGAAAGATCTGGATGTCCCGGACAATCCAGATAGTGTGGTTGCTGACTTTGAGCTAAACATCCTGGAGAGTGAAGTCAAGTGGGCCTTAGAAAGCATGGCTAACAACAAGGCCAGTGGAGGTAATGGCATACCAGTGGAACTATTTAAAATCTTAAAAGATGACGCTGTTAAGATGCTACACTCAATATGCCAGTAAGCTTGGAAAACTCAGCAGTGGCCAGAGGATTGGAAAAGATCAGTCTGCATCCCCATCCCAAAGAAGGGCAGTGCCAAAGAGTGCTCCAACTATCGTACAATTGCACTCATTTAACATGCTAGCAAGGTTATGCTCAAAATCCTCCAAGGCAGGATTCAGCAGTTCAGTACTGTATGTGGACCGAGAACTCCCAGAATTACAAGCTGGATTTTGAAGGGGCAGAGGAACTGGAGACCAAATTGCTAACATGCGCTGCATTATGGAGAAAGCCAGAGAGTTCCAGTAAAACATCTACTTCTGCTTCATTGACTACACAAGAGCCTTTGACCGTGTCGACCATGGTTTTTCCAGTATCGATGTATGGAAGTGAGAGGTGGACCATAAAGAATGCTGACCGCCAAAGACTTGATGCTTTTGAATTGTGGTGCTGGAGGAGACTCTTAAGAGTCCCCTGGACTGCAAAGAGAACAAATGTATCCATTCTGAAGGAAATCAACCCTGAGTTCTCACTGGAAGGAGAGATCCTGAAGCTGAGACTCCAATACTTTGGCCATCTCTTGAGAAGAGAAGACTCCCTGGAAAAGACCCTGATGTTGGGAAAGTGTGAAGGCAAGAGAAGGGGACAACTGAGGATGAGATGGTTGGGCAGTGTTACTGAAGCTACCAACATGAAGTTGACCCAACTCAGGGAGGCAATGGAAGACAGGAGGGCGTGGCGTGCTCTGGTCCATGAGGGTCACGAAGAGTTACACACAACTTAATGACTAAACAACAATGACAACTTCACAGTTATTTTCCTTGTGCAATAATTGGCATGCTATATCCTAAATATGTATTTGCTGGTTTTGGCTGTCAGTGACTAGATACTGTAGGTCTGGGCAAAAACAAACATGGAAACTAAAGGGTGAAATCATTGTCCTTGTGGCCCTTAATGAAGGGTTCACTTGACAAAGACTGATGATTCAAGGCTTGAATGGACTCAGAGATTACTTTTGCAGTAAGGAACATTTCTCCTGGTACACATTAAGCCCTTTAAAAAGATGAATATATTTCTTTAATATATACCCTGCTTTTCTAACTAAAGAGATATTCTTCCATTTGTAGATTTGCACATTAGCCTGTGCACAATTTTAGAAGAATGTGATGCTTCTAGTTTCCTCTCAGTCATAGGAAATATAAACATTTTCCTAGTTGTAAGTTGTCTTGAGTGTTGAACTGCTTAAGGTGACTAGTAAGTCTGAATACTAATTGTACAAACGGTATATCCAGTTGTTGAACCCTCTCATGCAATCTATTTTATCACATATTCTGTTGTGCTGAGAAGATAACACAAGAGCTATACACAAAGGTTATATTTGCCAGTTTCAGTTTTATTATCTGTATTAGGGTGGTATCATTTACTTTGGTAAATTCATATCCCATATCTTTGATGGTCAAAAGTAGGTTTTAAGTCTCCTTTTTAAAATCCAGATGTTGTAAAAAGTACAAATTAAGTCCCAACGAAAAAGGAAAAAGCTGCACATATTAAGTAGTAAGACAGTTTTACATTCAGAATGTCAAGTAAACAAATATTAATAATGCTAGATCAGAGCTTAGTAAGATTAATCGTTAATAGCTAGCATACCATTTTATGTTACAGAACATGAACCTGCAGTGGAAATGCTTATTGTTTATATGTTGTTAAAATTTGGAAGCTTACTGAATGTAGCTGTGTCATTTCTTTTTGTATGCATGCCATATGTAATAAGGCAACTGTTGACACTCTAGTAAAATTTAATACATGCTACTGAAGTCCTAAATAAAGAAAACACCAACCCCGATTTTTCAAGAAACGTCTGCAGTTCCCACTAGGGTTTTTAAAAATAAATTCAACCCACTAGTTTGTTGTAAGTTCATCTCTGTGTTTCTTCAATGAATACCTAAATGCTGTTTTCAAACTTCATTTTATACCTTTCTTTAGAAAAAAAGTTTCCTGTTTGTAGTGTGGAAAGAAGAAAAAATCCTCTTAAGATGGTTAGAGGCAGTCTTGAGTTTCTACGGCAGCAATGGCACACCTATGGCACACGTGCCACAGCTGGCACGCAAAGTGCTTTCTGCAGGCATGCGAGCCATAAGTCGCCAGATTGCTACTCCTTCCCCTCAGCCAAACCTTAGGAGGCGGCTGCAGGTGTGGTGCTGGCACTTCAACAGGTGGTGGGCCGGGATCTGGAGCAGCTGCGCTGGTGGTGGATCCAGAGTGGGGTCTTGAGGCACCTCTGTGCCTGGGGTTCCCCCTTCTGTTGCCACGTCTGGTGCCACCACTGCCACTTCCAGTTCCTCTGCCGTGGTCCGCTGGGAATTTTTTTATTTCCCCAGTTTGGACACTGGGGCCCATAAAGGTTCACCACCACTGTTCTAGGGTGTAAGAATATATATACCGTATTTTTCTGTCTATAAGACTCCACCGTCCCACTTTTCTAACCCCAAAATTAAGAAAACGTATCTTTCATTATTCAGCCTCTCGGCTCAGAACACTCAGACATTACGAGTCCCTTGTTGCATCTGAGCGTACAGGCTCCACCTCCAACAAGGTGTGTTTCAGTTGGTTTATTCAGCATCAGCTGACATCAGTTCCATAAGGCTCGTGATTGGAAGAAGCTAAGTCTCCTCACTGTAGGAAGCTAAGCCTCATGATTGAAGGAAGCCTGCTTACAGAGGCAAGGTATGGGCAGTTTTGTTCTCTCCATGTTCTCAGCTTACTTCTGTGTATAAGACGCCCCATAATTTTTAGTGTAATGATTTTAGGAAAAAGTTGCATCTTATACACGGAAAAATACAGTAGTATGCCAGTGCATTGACAGAAAATAATATGATTTTTTTTTAGATGTTTGCCACAAACACTGCAGGATGGAGGTTTCTGTTATATGTCTTTTCATATAAGACCTCAGCTTTTCAAGAAAAGTTACTGATAAGAGAATGAAAGATTATGCCCGCTCCTTGCATAAAGAAAGTGTCCCAAGGAGTTACTGTAGTATGAGGGTGAATGTACACCTGTACAACTGCTATTATTTTTCTTCTAATCTTTGTACAACTGTCCTTCATACAGCAACTTTTAAAACTTACTTGGTTGCACACAGGGGACACTGCTCAGCTTGAATAACTTTTATTTGAGAAACATATCCAAAGCTGCCCCAGGATTAGAACCTGGTTGGTTGATTCTCTGGACAGCAGCCTATTGATAGCTCTGATTTCTAGCATCTCATACCAAGAAGCAATCTACTATTGTATTCATTGAACAGAATCTGTGAGAGACATATTTGACCAAAGAGGAGTAAAAATTACTTGATTTCTTTGTTCTTCTAATTTTTTGCATGGCTAGAAAATGCAATTCTACAGAACTTGGGAAGTAATCTCAGATATTAGATTAAACCCCACTCTCTGGGGATGGCGAGAGAAGTATGTCTTCAGAGGGTGAGAGGTAAACCTAGGAAGCCCCACCTCAATTGCCATGGAACTCATTGTTCCTGGGCTGTCCCTGACCTCTTGGGGGCAGGTGGAGAGGTGTATCAGGAATATGGCAGTAGGTGTGCCATGAGAACCCGTGGAAGCACAAAATCTGCAGGTCTGTGAGCCCCCCTCCACATGCAAAAAAATCCAACCCAACACCTGTAGATCTATGCCAGTCTTGAAGCTGGCATAGATCCTTTCCATTAATTTAAATGGGTGAGCATTTGTTGTCAACATAGAGTAACAAAAAGATCCTAGGGAGGAATAACAAAGTTCAGATGTTGCTCTTCCCTCGTTTCCACCCTGAGCTCAGCTGTGCTTTGGAGGCTCTGTGATGTTACACTGGTCTGGAAAATGTTTCTAATGCAAGGTAGCTAGGAAAAATGAAGTGGAAGATAACGAAGCTTCTGGACCAAGACAATTATCTTTGGAAACATAAGGGTAGTCTATTATAGCCTACTAAGAGTATTTATAGGTTAGGTCTTATTTTGCCACGCAATAAATGAGACCTCAAGAAGTCTTAGGATTCATTGTGTTCTTTCTCATAGTTGCATGTGCACAATTTATGGTAGTGAAATTGATGTGATGAAGCACAAATGTGTACATTTTTCCCTGTAGCTTCTCCCTGATTGATTAGCATCAGAAAGGCGCTATGCACATAGGCTATTAGAGCAATATTGACGTCAGCATTTAGCCCTTTTTAGATACATTTGATAGACTGTAGATTAGCCATTTTCAGTTACAATGATAAACTAATTAGTATAGGCACAAACACCATGGACTAATTTATCCTTCAAACATTGTTGTCCTGGCTACTATAATAAGGACAACATTGCAACTGAAGCTGGAAAGCCAATCATTGCTGCTCAGCCTGTGGGCAAGATGGGAAAAGTCTGCATAAATATATGAAAGCCATTTCTGTTTAGGAAAACAGCAACAACAACCTGAAATATTTGGACATTCAATTTAAAGGGACTATTTTGCTTTCTAAAACTCAAGGCTACTGCTGTAAAAGTACAGCAAGGAATTTATTCAAAAGGACATTTTATATTATTCATGTAATGGATAGCTATCGTTCTCTTTGTGACCATGTTCTCGTCTTCTTCTTTGGGATAGGGGCAGAGGACAAGACCCCGATTGTTTTCACCAAAGAAAGGCAGTTAGAAAAGTAAGAGCTGGCAGCCACAGGCAATTCTGGGCACCTACTGTTAGTTATTACCCTGTAGCCTCCTCTAGGATTAAGCTGGCAAGATTTCACAAAAATATTGGTGCTGTTACGTGTTATGGTTTAAAATGGCTTTCAGAAATGTTATCATGGAAATATGGGAAGAAGTCCAGCAATATTAGTACATAGTATAGGATTAGTGCAAATGTATTGACCAACTTTAATAAACATTACGTACGTTTTACTTTGACCATTAGGAATGTTTCAAAAAGTAGTTCATGGATTTGAGTGGAATTATTTTTGGAAGTAGTGGGTTGAGGCCTACTTGCCCCCTTGAAGCTTTTGCATGGATTTACTGGTTGCTCGGAGAGAAATGTAAATTATTTGTCTTGTCAGTTATAATGGTGATGCAGATACCTGAAGGTAGTTACATCAGTCATAATCCTGTGCTGAAGCAAATCCATTTACTTGTATGTAAATTGATTTATATAAAATAAAAGCATTTTTTTATTCTTAAGTACTTGTTAAAATTCTAAAATTGAAGAATTCTTCTTTGGAGGAAAATAAATTAAAACACAAAGTACTTCAACAGATATATAATAATAACAATTAAATAGGAATCATGTATCACAGAATGTAATCCTCTTAACCACCTCTCGTACCTTCATTAATATCACTGGATTATAGTACTGTATATTACTTGATAGGATGTACTTCTTGTTTTGACAGGCAGAATGCAATCTGGTAGTCCATGTAGGTCCATACTAACCTTTATTTCTAAAATCCATCCATAAGTAATCTTTGGATTAGTTGAGTGCTAACTTAAGTTTTGATGGATGGGATACTGCAAGACCTTCTCATCACCAGTCTCACTTCAATATCAGGCAGGCTGTTCTGCTTAGTCTGTAAACAACCTTCATCTGTGGCTGCCAGATGGAGATCAAATCGCAAAGAAACTGACTTTTTCCTTAAGCGAGGGTTGTCCTTAAAGAAAGAGCCTTCCCATTCTTTAATCACTTCATCTACTTTTTCTGTCCTGAAACAATAAATTAAATTTTATGCACAGCACTTAGTGAAGAACAGGCTAAGATTTCACAAATGGAAAATGGCAGGACCTGACCATACATGGAGATAGATTTAATCCGTGACAAACACTGTTATTTTCCTTTTTAAAAGCTGCTGTATTGACTGGAAACGTGTTGGGAAAGTGTAACCATTCCATTTTTCTTTTTTCACAAAGGAAAAGGCACTCAGTGTGATTGGGTTAGAATTTTGTCCATGGGTTCCTCTTTTTTATTTTAATCCATCAACCCATTAACCAAATTGAGGTATATTTGCCAGTCAAAAACTTCTGGTTCCTGAACAGTTATCAGATTTTGAATATGCATAAACTGAATAACATGCAAGGGGGGGAAACAATAACAATCCATCCATCCATATCCATCAATACAGTCTTCTCAGTCTGTTTTAATGAGCAGAGAAAATTAGAGGACTATTCTAAAAAATAGAATTGTCAGTATAATTACCAAAGGGTTCCATGATATTGAAAAAGAAAAGGTACCCTAGAGAAGCTGCTTTCATAGGCTTTTTCAGGACCAAAGATACCGTGTTTCCCCAAAAATAAGACAGGGTCTTATATTAATTTTTGTTCCAAAAACCCGCATTAGAGCTTATTTTCAGGAGATGTTTTATTTTTTAGTTGTGTCATCTTCTAGTTGCTGCACAATGGTGGAGGGCAGAGTTTCACTTAATCAGGGCTTATTTTTGGGGCAGGGCTTATATTTCAATCATCCTGAAAAGCCATACTAGGGCTTATTTTTCAGGCTTGGTCTTATTTTCAGGGAAACAGGGTAGTTAACAGGGTAGTGAGTAATTCCATTGAACTAAGCAACACTGATTTAAGGCTCTGCAAAGTCTAGAGCAGCGGTCTCCAACCTTTTTGGGACGGCAGACCAGCTGAACCTCTGAGGAAGGTGGGGCACCCCCTGCAGGTGTGTGCGGGTGTGTGTGCACTCTTGGGCGCATGCGCAAAGTGGTGGGGTAGTGCCTGCCCACCAGTGTGAGCGCTCCCACACCCCTTCGCGCATGCGCAGGGGTGCCTGACCACCCAACCACCCCTTCACGCGGGCGCTCGGGAATTCGGGTGTATGCATGAAGGGGTGGGGGAATGCTCACGCCAGTGCTGACACGCACACACGTGCACAAAGCAACTGTGGGGAAGGGAGTGTGTGCGGGCAGGCGGGAGGTCTGTTTTCACAGCCCTGTCCGGCTCAGACCACGGACCGGCACCAGGCCACAGACCAGGGGTTGACGACCTCAGGCCTAGAGGATAAAAACAATGCAAAGAAACAGGATATATTGCAGTTTTTGCTGACAAGTCAGACTTCCAGAATCATATTTGATTTGATTGTCTTTTCAGTGACAGTGCAGTCCACTACGAAGAAATGAGTTAAAATTTATGATAGACTGTCAGTAAGACTCTGGGTAATGAAACTCATGAGAAAGGGGAGGGGATGTCAAAACCCTGATGAGAAAGGGGAAGGGATGTTGTAACGCTTTCTTTGTGTAAGTGGAAATAATTGTTCCTGGCCAAACAAATTATCTCTCTCTTTTTTGCATTGTGAGTATATTTTGTCTTTTGTGACTCATTATTCTGTTTTAACTGATGGCCTTTGGCTGCCTAACAAAGTGTCTGACTACAAGGGCATTTGTCCCACTGTTTGGTCCACCTAAGGATGAGCTAGTTCACTCCTTCTGCCAGCAAACTAGAGAACATAAGTGCCAGCCCTGGACCATTCCTACTCACACCTCTCTAGACCCTATAGGGGGCTCCTTGTTTTTTTTTAAAGAGATGGCAGGGGGGTTGCTTTGATTTGGATTGATTCCTGTATGTGTGATAACTGGGATCAAAGTGGTTGTTGGCTGTCTCTTTGGAAAATCATCTTAATTATTTTTCCTCTGAGAAATGGAAAGCTTCCATCTTGGCTATCCTATGGAAGACAGGGGATAGGAAGTTTTGTACTTGTCTGTAATTCTTGCTAATGAATCAGCGTTGCTTTGAAAGATTTATTTTTAAAACCCCATCAAAGCACTGCTGATATGCTGTTTCAGTTAACAACCATTAAAAAGAAATGGAAAGATTTGTCTCCCTTGGCTTCCAAAAGAGCCCAAGTGGAAGTTTTCCATTTCTCAGGAAGCTTCTCCAGAGGGACAGCCAGTTAGCCACTTCACAATTTTGAGAAATCTTTCCCTTTAAAGAGAAAGAATCTTTCTTTTTAAAGGGAAAGAAGATCTTGATTATGCTAAACAAGATTGCTTGAGGTGCACTGTGGTTCCCTGTCCTGAAATCACCTGATCCTTGCAGGTGAATGCAAGGATAGCACTGAGCACCTCTATGTGACTTTTAGTGACTCTGTAGCCAGACTGCTCCAGTTTGGCCGTCTAGCCAAGCCCAAAAACTGTTTTTGCCTACCTGACTTAGAATTCTGCATTATTCAATTTATCCAGCATTAAATTTGGCTTCAGGAGTGAAGAGGGGAAGAGAGACAAAGTGGAAGCTGACAAGAGGAGGTAGGAAGGGATAGCTTCCTTGAGGACTGTGGAAGACAATGAAGCTACCTCAGATGATGAAAAAACCTAGGGAGAAGCCCCAGAGGAGCTGATGTTCTATTTCAAGGGGGACTTTGAGTACTGGCTGGAGGAAGATCCTTGGCAAGGTGCCTCAGTAGAAGTAGTGATAGCTAATAAGCAAGGTGGTGGAGCTCCTATATTTATCTTACTAGAATCTCCACCTCAGTCAGTTTCCCCATGGTGATGCGGGAAGCCAACAGGCCTCCCTATCCCGACCCCAACCCAATGTTGGCATTGGCATTGGCATTGTAAGTGTTGGAAAGAGAGGCAATGGCAATTGCAATGGCTTCAGAAGGGGTCAAATGGTGCCAGTAGCTACTGACCAGCTGCCTTTACTGGCTGCCCCTGATAGGAGCCAAGCAGGATGTGGGAGCACCCCAGCTCCTTGGACTTGTGAGTGTGGGTTAGCTAGAGCACTGGTTCTTAACCTTGGGTTACTCAGGAGTTTTGGGCTGCAACTCCCAGAAGCCTTCACCACCAGCTGTCCTGACTGGGGTTTCTGGGAGTTGAAGTTCAAAAGCATCCGAGTAACAAAGGTTAAGAACCACTGAACTAGAGGATGACTTGGAGAGACTGAGCCAGAGGAATTAGTGTTGAGAACTGAGCTCTTCCGCAAACTGCTTGTTCAGGAGGAGAGTAAGATAAGCTCTACCTCTGTGTCTCCTGGTCAACAAGCAATAAACCCTGTGCCTGTTCACACCAGCAGTCTGAACCCTATGGAATTAGTTACTGGGGATGCTGTGAACCCCAGCCCTGTGGCTGGTGGGCTTGGGGGGTGCACACTCATGGGTAGTTCTCTGTTGGCTGAAAGGAGTACAAATACATGTTACTATATGGTTTATCTGGCAGGAGAAGTCTTAAGTGGTATATTTGGGACATTACATTTGTGCAGGTAAACTTTCTGATGGATTGTGCCCCTATTGATTAATAGCAGGCATATGATCTAGTATCAATAGGCTGAATCTGCCTTACGCAACCTTTATAACTGGTAGGCATGTGTGTATGTGTATGTTTTGTTCTATTTAACTTACTGTATTGTGCCTTCAGCTTCTGCACTCTCCTTTGCAACAGTTGCATTTAAGATTGCTTGCTTTGTCAGTATTTCCACCTTTTCAATCTCGTGCTTCTTTAGCTCACTTGCTGCAAAATTTGAAAAAAAAAGTCAAAACATGTAAAAATGTTCAGTGTTAGGCAGCAGCAGATAACAATTCTGACATTTGAACTGTAAGATATGCATTAGACTTATTTTGAGTGGCTGTTTTTTATGCTTTGTATGCCAACAGTTATTTACATCAAGGTTTCTACAGCAGATGCTGTGGCAGATTTGTGGCATTAATATGGAGCCACTGGCAGGGTGGTGCAGTGGCTACAGGGTTGTATTGGGAACTGGGAAATTCAGGTATTCCCCAAAGAGCTGTGCCTCTGACAAGGTAGCTTTGGACCAATCACTAATTTTACCTACCTTTTCTTGACCTTGCCTTATTAAATTGATCAGATTGACCATTACAGTTACTGTGAGAGTAGTTTTGTCCCCCTTCCCTGCCAGTAGATTATTATCCAAAATTCCTATGTGTCCTATGTTCAAATAAAACCTTATTTATATTCTGCATAGCTTTTATGTAATTGCACAAAATCATTTAAGAGTTCACAAAAGATCTGTATAACTTATCATAGCTAATTGCAGCTAAGTGACAAGGTGCCAGGTTAAATCTGGTCACATGCCTGGTCACATGCCCAATTGTACAATCCAGATGTGTTGTGCCACCTTGTCTATTAGTTGCAATTAGCCACTGCAAGATTTGCAAACCTCACCTGGACACCAGTAGGATTCTGGTCATTATTTGATTTTAAAGACACTTACGTGAAGGCAAGATAAATGCTATCCGGCTGGTAGTAGGCTTTTTCTCATCTTTTGTTTCTTGATGTGCAGGATGATGAAACCTTAAAAAAAGAGCCAGAGTTATAAAAACATCAATTGAGCTTATTTATGATAAAAGTATATAGAAACCATAAATTTTTGCAGTGGGTTAACTTGTGTCAGAGTATATATTGATACTCAGTGCCGTCTATGTTGCATTTGTTTACTTTGTAGTGTAAAGGCTCTTTACCCTTTTTCTGTTGACTACATGTCCCATGGGTGAATCTCAGTGCCGGATTAGCTCCAGCCTGTTCCACATGATTTTTGCTTCCCCTGTGGTACTGATGAAACAGCAGATTCATCCAAGGAACGACTCTGGGCCTGCCATGAGAACTTTGGACTCAAAATATTCAGAGTACCGTGTTGGCAGAAAAAGGAGAGTCGGTCAGAGAAAAGTAGGTGGCAGAAAGAAGAGGAAAGGATAATGCCACACTTGCCCATCAGCTCTGGCTCTGCTTACACTTGATGTAGCTCCCACCTGATTTTTCCTGTAGTTCTATGATCCTTCATAGAAGAGAAGCCCCATCAACCTGCTAAGGGAATGGTTTAGATATAATGTATTTTTAAGCTAAAATATGCACAAGCCTTCTATTGCATCATATTGAGCCTTCTTTCCTCCATTCCTGGCATATAATAATAGCAGATTCCTGGTTCAATTAATCTTAGTTTTGTGATATGTCCCAAGTGGGAGACTGTAGTTACTGGGATTAAAACAGGCTAGGATCTGAAACCAAATCCAAATGATGGTTGGAGATTCTGATTTCAATGTTTCTCTAAGTTTCAGCCCTGCTGGGCAGAGCTGTACTTTGGTCAGTGTGTGACTTTGCCTGTGCACATTGATTCCCCCCCCCCATGTGCGCAGTGTTTCATCACCACTGGAACCAAAGGGACTGAAAACGATCTTAGCTGGTTCGCAGAGGAGGAGGAAGGCTGCATGGAGCGAGGTTGAGTCACACACATGTAAACGCGCAAGCATGTGTCTCACAGGGAACCTTTAATTTCTGAAAACTATAGTATCAGTGACCTAATAGGAATCTATTAAACCAGGAAATCTTCAAACTACTGAAGTAGGGATTGATAGTGCTGAGGGCTCATGGATATCTTCGTTTAATATGCTGAGATGAGTTACATCTGAGATGGGCCAGTAACAGAGTTCACATGTACTAAGTAACAGGTTGTTCTTAAGAGAATGAGGGGCAGTCATATGAAATATAGCTTGCTACTTGGTTTGCTTTTTGAGCAGTTTGGTTTGCCCTATTTTCTGGCAACTACATGTGTTTTAAATAAGAATGATCCATCCTGCCCCTTTGTGAGCTGTTTTGCTCCTTTCTGACAAAGCACTAGGGCTGCAGTTTATTTGGTGCAATTGGAAGCATTCCTGATTATCTTGTCCTGCAATCCATGTGGTTGTTTAATTTGCTGCCAAACAGAGCTATGGGTGGCATTCTCTCCTGTGACAACCCTGTGACATATGCAGTAAGTTGTGATGGCAGAAATGATGGCAGAGAAACCTCTATTTTCCTTATCTCACAATTTTTAAAAAATATTCTCTTAAGTGACACAGTGCTATTTCAGATATAAGGAAATAACCATGTTAGGTTGATGCATTGCTATAGTGCTGCATCACTTACTAAATTAAACAAAAAAGGACACCATGGCCCACTGAATGACAACTATGACAAAAGGTGGGAAAAGGGGCAGTGAAAGGGGTGTTAGTAACCAAGAGAGGGAGAAATTGGAGCCAACTGAAGTGCTGTCTGTATCCTTTCCACAGGAGAAGAAATGTCTCCTGTGTGAATGGAAGGATCACTGAAGTGCAAGATAAAATAGATCACATCAAAGATAACAGCCTTTTAAACATGACTCAGATCACTCCAGATTCTCCCATCTAGTCACACCCTGATCTGGCATGAATTTGTTGTTTGCTTTCTCTGTCCTTTGCACATGTGAAGAAATTCAAAGGTTCTATTTTTAGGGTGAACTAGTTACAGTTTTTCTTGTGTCTACCCAAGGAAGTTAACAAACCAAGATTTAAATTATTGATTTGTCCTGGTATATATTGATGAACCAGAGTTCGTATGAACAACCATCACCCTATGTTCTGTACAGTAGAAAACTGTAATTTTAATACCCAATCATTATTTGAATAAGACAAAGTATGAATTAAACATGGAATGAATGTTTAGTTTTTGGTACAAAAGACTAGGCAACCGATGAGCACAATTCTAATCACTTCCCAGTTACATTACAGGACTTGGACTTGCCATAGTCCCGGATACTTAAGAATGGGAATATATATATATACATCTAAGAGTAATCATAACACAGTCCCCAAGAAATCTCATGTATTTCCACTATTTAAAGACTGTATGTAGAAGGTAGAGGTGCTAGACTAGGACTCAGGAAATCTGAGTTCAAATTCATGCTCAGCCAGGAGAACCCACTGGATGGTAACAATGATGAAACCACTTTTTAAATATTTCACATACTTTGCAAATTCTCTTAGGGTCATCAAAAGTCAGATATAAATTGTCAGCACATAGCAATAATATAAAAGTACCTTTTCTCCTCCTCCTCCAGCAAACTACGGTATGTTGCTATCTCCTGCTCAAGTCTCATCTTAGTGTTGAGTAATATTTCATGTTTCTGAAGCTGTTTTTCAATGCCCTCTCGCACTTCTTGTAGTTCTTTCTCCAGGCCTTCAATTTCATTTTCCAAATGCTTGAGCTGGGTATGGTATTGCTGTTCTTTGATGCGCAAAGCATTTTCCAAACCCTTTTCCTGTTACATGAAGTAACTTGTTAAAATTCCATAAAGGATTTCTAAAAATGAATAGATCTAGAATTATTTGAAAAAATAATAATAATAATATGGTAAAGGTAAAGGCTCCCCTTGACATTTTAGTCCAGTTGACTCCGACTCTAGGGCTCATCCCTGTTTCAAGCCATAGAGCCAGTGTTTGTCCGAAAACAGTTTCTGTGGTCACGTGGCCAGCGCGACTCGACACAGGATGCTGTTACCTAACCTTAAAACTCACATGTACACACAATCTTCAATGGGTTTTAGGATTACAACCTCATTAAGTGTAAATAGAGTAATATTTAAGTCAGCTCTTTGTAATGTGAGCAATATATGAAGACGGTGTGGTTCACATGAACCAACAAAATGCTAGATCAACAGGCAATGTCTTTATGGTGGCAAACAAGAATGTATTTATTGGCCCCAAAGGTCTTCAGAGTAGCTTGCAAATGCATAAAGACATTTCAGTATTCGCTGAAGAAAAGCACTTTCACAAAACAACCCCCTCAAGAGCAGTACAATCAATAAATCAGAATGAAATCATGTGACTACAGAAAGCAAAAATAATCTTTTTCACAAGTGTGTTACCAAAGGCAGCAAGCTATATCTCACAGGCTAAAAGAATGCATAGTTTGGGGCTTCCTCCTGCTAAAATGTCCCAGCCACTGCTCTCCATTCTCTGCCTTTCACATGGTACAGGGATGTGCACAAGTGCCTCTCCTGATTATCTTGATCCCATGGGTAGGCTTGGGTGGTAGGGAGGTTACTTCTGTAGAAACCTGACACCAAATCTTTTAAAGCAGCAGTCCCCAACCTTTTTCGGTCCGCAGACTGGCTGGGGAAGGTGGGGCACTCGGCGTGATTGTGCGAATGCGTGAACAAGTGTGCACGCCCTCTCGCATGAGCGCACCATGCCTGTTTGCACACACGCATTTGTGCGCATGCACAAATGGCAGTGTGCACTTGTCTGGGCGCGCTTGCGCTCGTACACATGCGCAAATGGCGGCGCTTCGCTTGCACCGGTGTGCTGGAGTGCACACGAAGGTGCAAACAGGCTGTGCAGGGTTGAGTGCATGCGGGTGGTGGGGCGGGCGGTCTGTCTTGGTGGCCCGGTCCAGCTCAGGCCACGGACCGGCACCAGGCCGCGGACCAAGGGTTGGGGACCTCTGTTTTAAGGCAAAGATGCATAACCTATGGTTCACAGGCCCCCTGGGGCACCACAGTGCCCTCACAGGGGGGCTGTAAAGGCTTGAAGAAATGTTATAATCTTTTGCAGTTAAAAT